CTTATCTCTTTCCCACATTTCTATCAAAACAACGCGAGCAGAGATACCAGAGCGGAGGCACGGAGCGATGATGACGACGAGCGGCTCCCCTCCGGCAACAGCACCAGTGATGGTCTATCGGTGAGTCCTCTCCTCCTCTCCTTGGCGAGCTCCTCAACGGAGAAGAGGGCAGGCAGTCAAGCGGCATTCCTCCAGCGAAGGCCCCTCTCAAGTGAGCCCCCTCCTCCTCCCCTTGGTAAGCTCGCTCTAACATACCAGGTATGTTTTTTCTACATCGCCACCCCCACTGTGCCATCGCCTGGCCTCACTAGTGCCGAAAGGCATCAACGTGCTGGCGTGGCCCTACCCGGCTGGCCTCCTCTTCCTCCTCTTTGCTTCGCTTTACCCCCAGCCACCAACACTGGCCCACTGCCCATTACCGGCCTTGCCGCTCTAACGGTGGCGGTGCCACCTCACCGCCCGCCCTTGTCTGCCACCCACCACCATTAAACAAGACCGCTGCCTCTTCAGCGCCACTCTCCCCTCCCCCTTCCACCCCACCCCCGAAACCCTAACCCTAACCGGTGCTTGTTGTGACCTGGGACCACACGCACGATTTCGCTTCCTAGAGCAAATTAGCATTCATGGGTTTTCTGGGGCATGCATGATGTGTTAACAGTATGAGAACTGCTCTGTTTACATTTTTGTTGTTCATTTCCATGTTAGAATTGCTATTCTGTTCTAATCGTGCTGTCTCAGTTAAAACTATTTTTTTCAAAAGTATCTTCTGTCATCTTTTAACATAAATATAGAGAGAGTGACGCATGCGTGTTACCCAGCTCCAGAGGTCTATTAGCCTAGCATAGTTCAGCTGTTTTTCAAAAAAAAAAAAATCATGTCTTGAGCTAAGAGCCCCGTGTTGCCTCCCGTGACAAGTGACTTGGGTGGTGGCAAACCCTAGCCATGCTGCCACCACCCACCTCCCCACTCCTCTGCCCTGCCGCTGCTAGAGTGAGCTGCTAGTAAGCTGTTCGGTGTGCTAGGACGACGGCTGCGGGTCTCGCGTCGATGGTGAACACCAGATCAAGCGTGGGCGAGTCTGGGGATGCGAGGCGGGGCTGCAAGAAGCATCGCCGACTAGTGGTAGATAGCCACAAGCGATGAAAAGAAGGCAAGGCGGATTGCCCGAATCAGATGCAGGTGAGAGGCGGCGGCACCACAGCGAGGATCGACAAAGCGACACGGTGGTGGTGGCCGTGCTCAGCTTTCGACAATTGAGGACTGAAACAATGGGTCATGGAGGGTCAGATCTAGGCTATGAGGGCGGATCTAGCGAGTCAGCTTCTGGATTTTGCCGGCGGTTGGCCAACGGGAGGCCAACGCGAGCTTGTGGATTGCCAACGGTGTAGGCGGGAGGGTGCTCAAGGCGAGGGAGGTGACATAAGCAGTGGTGGTGGGGCTGCTCTGTTGTTGCTGCAGAGGTGAGGGGTGAGCGATTCTTAGCACCAAGAGGAGGCTCACGATGAGAGCTGTTGTGCTTTGCCGATGACGCGGGCTGGGCGGGAGGTCTTCGAGAGGCCGTCCATGGGGGCGGCTGTGGGGAGGCTGACGAGAGTCTGGAGTAGCATGGCTGGAGGTAGCGGGACGAGGATGCGGCGACAATGACCGGGTTGGTGGTGTCGTGGGCTTTGGACTTACAGGAGATCCAGCGATGGCAAATGGCAATGAGGTGAGGCGAGGGTGAGACGGACTGGCGGCCTAAGGTGGTGGTGAGGTTGAATGCCTTGCCGCGGTGGTGGCAACACAATGAGGTGGACGTTGAGGCCTGCGGTGGACTCTTCACAGACGCTAGACCTGTTGCGGTGGCGCCTTCCACAAGATGGCCTTGTGGTGGTCTAGTGCAGGGGAGATGCGATCCACTCTTCTCTTTCACCCTCTTCTTTTCCAACCCAATTACGTGGATGGAGTTGAGTGCACCAGATGTTATGCTCCTACTTGATGCTGGCCAGTGGCGAGGCACTGGTGTGGTGATTGCATGTTGAAGGTGCTCAGTTGGTGGTGACTGTTGATACTGGCAGGTGCACGTTGGCGTGGGAGGGAAGGAAGATTATGGGCGAAAGTCCAGTCTGTTTGGGCCGACAACAATGACACTTGTGGGCACCGCATCCCCCTTGGGGCATTCTCGTGGAATCTCTCTCTCCATGATGGATGTCTCTTCAGGTGAAAACCATGTTCTGATCCTCGAGAATGGGCGCAACGATGCTCTCGGCATCGTATCATCCTGAAGTTTTGTTTGAAGATTCATTTCCTTATGGGTGTCGTGTTCTCGATTTGCTCTTCAGCCATGAGGATCCTTAATGGCTAATGAGTGATCGATCGCTTGCGCTTGCCACGCGCGATTAGATTTGAGGTTCTTTTTTCGTAGGACAAAATATGTGTGGGATTGTTTAATTTCCTTTTTTTTTTGGCAAATAAATGAATGGTCTTGATTCGTCATGGGATCTCTTTGTTTCTTCCTGGAGGCCCATCGAGCAGGCAGGCCATGTGGCCTAATCTAGGCCCATATGGATTTTTTATTTTTATTAAATTTGTTATAAATTCACGGTAGCGCTATTCCACGCGCTACAACGCGTAATAATAATTCGAGCGCTGCACACCGCCTTCTTCTTCTTCTTCTGGTTTTTCCGTTTTTTACCACCCCACCTTTCTCCGCATCCCACCTTTTCTCGGGTCATTTTTTTCGTTTTTTACCACCCCACCTTCCGTGTTTTTTCTCTTTTCCATCTTATCTGTGCTTCATCAATGGTCCCGGTAAAATATTAACCATCCAGATTTTTCTGTTATTTATTCATTCTCTATAGTTTTTCTGTTTTCGCGTTTTAGTAAAATATTTACCGTCTAGTTTTTCTTTCCGAATTTTCCGTTTTTCTAGTATCTCCGCACGTTTTAAAAGTAACGAATTTACTCCGTGGAGTTTTTCATTTACTCCCAGCCTTCCACATCTGCTCATTCTAAAGTAACAAATTTATTCGCATGAATGTCTCCACATCGTATGACGCCATACCTAGATGGTCGTAAAATAATTACTACCAACTTATAACGCTAGTAATTCTTTTAGCAATATTATTTAGATTTTGTGGTCTGCGAGTAAAACAATTACCACATTGCTCTCGATATAGCCATGATCTCATAGCCACCGTGTAGTAATATGTTTACTGATGTGTTCAATATACAGTATAAGAGTAAAAACTGGTACTAAGAGTATTGTTGATCTGTATCACAAAATAGTCGTATGAATGAAAAAAATTACAGGCTCAATCACACACAAGCGATAAAATTACTCACAAGTGAATCAAACTAGAAAAAAAAATGATTCAGCCAAAAATCCATCATGGAATCATAGAAGAATCTAGCGGTGTGGTATAGAGTTGAGCTTGACGTTGCGCAGTAGCAGCCATCCATCATCTAACAAGCACAAAAAAATGTAAAAACATTCTCGTTCATGTCAATACAGATGACGAGCAAAAGAAAAATAGCAAACAATCTCCATCACCGGTGGACTCCACCCTATCCTCTGTGGCTAGTCACATGGAGCACGATGTGCAAATGTAGGACCTGTGCAGCCCATCAATTGAGATCAGGTAATATTGGAGATTGCATGTTAATTTGATTTGCAAAAAAAATTAGGGCTTCATGCGTGAAGTTGAAGGAGAGTATGCAGATGCAAATCAGAGTGTCATTTCCTTACTTGCTTGTTCTATCAATGTCGCCGACGTGGAGCAGCCGCTGGTTGTTGCTATTGGCTCAGGTGAACACCTCCTTGCTGGTTATGGTGCTGCCTAGCGTCCGGTAGCGAGGCCCGAAGTAGTGCCTTCACCTCAACTGCCGCCGGCCACCGCTCGCCGGCCACCGCCATCAACCACCACGGTGTCGTCGTCGTCCTCCATGGTGTGTCGCCGATCTGTGGGCTAGGATGGTGGATCGATTCAGATCCCAAAAAAAAAAAGGAAAAAACGGAGTGGGGGCGAGAGTGGTTGGTTGGGTACGGGAAAAATAGAATATATACCGAAAGCAGAGAAGTTGTTTTTATCGTAGTAAATCATTTACTCCGATAATGGTGGGTGCATGATGTGGGACGTGGGGTGAGATCGAAAGCAGGGAAGTTGTTTTTATTATCGAAGTAAATTGTTTACTCAAATAAAGGTGGGTGGTAGAGGCACCTGATCGGAGTAAACAATTTACTCCGGTCGGTAGGAGTGGGATGACGGGATGTGGGGTGGGGTGGGCCTGGGCTAACGCATGTTTGGCGCTCGGAACAATATTCCACGTACTAGCGCTCTTAATAGTAGTTCTAATAAACTCATTTGCATAAAATTTTCTATTTATGAAGTTTCTATCTATAAAGTTTTGATGCATAATTTTTTTATCCATAAAGTTTGAATGTATAAAGTTTCTATGTGTAAAGTTGGTATGTATAAAGTTTTTATGTACATTTTTTTTCTGGGCAAAATAATATTACTAGTTGGGCTTAAAACACATGGATTGAGAATGGCCCGAGAAAACAAAAGTGGATTATGCATAAATTTTTTACAGACAAACTTTTCTCTAAGCAAAAAAAAAAAAAACTGCTCATAGGGCAAAATTATGTGGATGAGAAAGACCTTAGAAATAAAAATAGGCTATATTATACATGGTTTGTTAAACAGAAACATCTAAATTGGACTCCAACAACTGCGCAGGTCCACGTGGGGATGGAGCGGTCACGCGGGGTGTCAGCCGAGCAATCAATCGTTTAGTAGACCTACTCTCAAGGATCCGGTTGTAAATGCGTGGTATACCTGTTATTTTTCTATTTTTCTAGCTATACCCTTCCAGGGCTATAAATTGCACTTTTTTTACTGCTATATCAATACAAAATACTACACTGTTTTGTGTGGGTTGTTTTTTTTTAAAAAAACTAATTGGTGTATGATCAAACCTTACTCTCATGCCATTCAACATAACTGATAAGTATGCTATTATGGGTACTTCTGACAGTAGAACTGTTTTATTATGCATTAATTTTGATGGTTTTCTATAGAAATTTATTAAGATGTGAAAATACATTTGTTCATTGTAGGCACAAGAACATGGCCATTCATGGTATAGAGTGATAGACGCGAGAGTATAGTGAGCAATGATCATTTGTAGCACTGTAAGTAGCCGATAAGCTCATAAAGGTACATCTCCTGCTGGACTCTATCCCCGAGGATGCCGCACAACTCTATGGCTTTGTGTGCCAATTCCTTCCCCTCCTCCTCCACCATGACCCTTTGTATCGCCGCCGCAACATCATCCCTGTAGAACGAGCCATCGTCGTAGTTCCTCGCCACCTCCACACCTACCCCCGTTGCCGCCACCGCCTGAGCAATTAGGCCCTGGTCAGCGATAAAAGGGAGCATCACCAGTGGCTGACCATAGTGGAAGCTCTCCACGGTGGAGCCCCAGCCGCAATGTGTTAAGAATACACCTACTGCACCATGCGCTAACATGCGCACCTGCGGTACCCACTCCGTGCACACTAAGCCACGTGCAGCAACACGTGTCTCGAACCCACTGGGGAGGAGCATGTCGTCGTGGCAGTTGATGCCACTCGGACGACGGAGTGCCCATAGGAAGCGCACACCAGCAAGCTCTAGTCCAAATGCGAGCTCATGCATATGGTCTGCTGTGATAGGTGCCTCGGTCCCGAGTGAAACATAGATGACAGATTTGTTTGGCTGCTTGTCAAGCCATTGCATCACTGCCACGAAGGACCGGTCGGATCTATTGTACACACCAATATCATTGTCGTCAAGAGCGGGAGGCACAAGGAGGCCGGAGGGGATGGCCGGCTTAGTATAGAGCTTGGTGAGGAGCGGGAACAACCGTGGCTCTATCTCGGGACAAGTACGATAGATGATGAGACGGCAATTGGGATGTTGCTCTGACTCCCAGAAGCGATCCATATCAGACACGCCGGAGGCATTGGCTCTGAAGGCGGCTACCATCCACTCCGCCTCATGGCGCCGCCGGTAGGCGATGTTGGAGGGGAAGGGGATCCATGGTGGCTGGACCATGTAGTCCTCTGCCGTGGTGCGTGGATGAGTCAGATTCTCTCTTCTTGGGCCGAGGATGGCCACCAAGGCCGCCGGAACGATCAAAAACGTGGCATATGGGATCTTTTGAGACAAAAGAAGAAAAAGAAAAAAGTTATGAATTAGTCTCTTTAATTGCAAATTGGTAGTAATTGAGCAGGACAAAGTGACTGATCTATCGATCACTTTCTAACCATATAATGACATCCAATAACTCGTAAGCTGTACTACCTTTTATGCAAGTTTAGGTAATGATAAATAGCAAAATTGAATTAGCTGGCGTGTGTTATCTACTTATCTTTTGGAGGGGCTAGGAACCAGCCCTTTTCCCCTCATGTAAAACGAAGCAATAGATTAACACATGGTTAATTAATTAGTTTAAAAAACTTAAAAAATAGATTAATATGTTTTTTACAGCAACTTTTATATATATATTTTTTTGCACGTTTAGTAGTTTGGGAATTATGCGGACCAAAGTGAGGTTAGAACACAGCCATCAAGAAGGTGAACATAAGTCAGCTCAAGCCCACCTTGTGCTCCTCGGCAATCGGCCATATCCAGCTGTGCGCGAAGTCGGGTATGATCCAGTCGGGCTTCCTCAAGAACCCGGCGGCGGCGGTGACGGCTTCCCCATCGCCGGCGGCGCAGGCCTCGGCAACAAATCGGGCAAAGGGCGCGGCGAGGCCGTCGAACGCCTTCTTGAGGAGCCCGACCTTCTCCGGCGGGACGTCGGCCGTCGACTCGGCGCCCTCCGGCAGGCCGTCGACGGCCGGGAGGTCGAGCGGCACGACGCGGAGGCGGGAGGACGACGACAGCGGCGCCGGCGGGGTCGCGCCCAGCCTCGCGGCGTTCCTCGGCGTGGTGACGAAGGTGACGGCGTGGCCGCGGCTGGCCAGCCGCTTGGAGAGCTCGAGGAAGGGGATCATGTGGCCGAAGGCCAGCCATGGGAACACCACAATGTGAAGTGGAGAAGAAGAAGAAGAAGCAGCAGCAGCAGCAGCAGCAGCCGGCGTCGAGTCTGAGGTCGCTGCCATGGCTGCTGATATATCTGTTCAATGAGAATTAATTGACCAACTCGCCGAGATGGTGTATGCAATGCTACTATATATGTACGGAGAATTTCTCATCCGGTGAATTGCAATAATAGAGTGCCAACTGCCACCCACACGGGCGACAAGCCTGTTTTCTTTACTGTGTAGGAAATTTGGAATATTTGTTTGAACTCTTGTACCAATTGTGTATATATCTAGGCTTACACATGCTAACCACTGCAGGCGTTACTAATATTGAGTTGTATTCAAGGCTCTCTCAAGTCCAAAACATAAGGGGACTGTCTATATAACATTTGTAAGAAAACCCCTCCCACATTTCGGTCACTTCTGGATGGCCCGAATTGCTTTAAAATTTGTGATGCTTAAGTGTTTCTACCTTATCCTCCTCCCTGATCTTCATCTTCTCCCCAACCCAACGCTCTGTCACCCAATGCCGAATGATCTCTCCCCTGGTGCCGATGCCGCCACCGCCCAATCTCGTCGGTTGACTGAAAGGTAATAACTACACCAGCAAGCCTCCTTCCACCCCCCCTTCAAGCTCGGAACGGTGAAGTGTCCCCGCACTGTAGTCTTCCCTATCTTGAGCGACTCCACGCTGCTAGATTCGCCACCACCGGTCACTGCCTCCTCTATCCCTACGACTCTAATACCTTGCCTCCCGCCCATGTCGGCCATCCATCACTGCATTGCCATCTCCCACGGTCATACCTCTAATCCGGGAAATCCCCCCAAACCCCTACCCCTCCCCCCCCCACCTTTCCCCTTCCCGCACCTCCGTTCCACTTTTACTTAAACCCAGGACTGTAAAACCTAATTCTCGTCAAGCCAACATCAGTCGCCAGAGCTTCACCGGAGTTGGAAGAATTGGGTGCACGAATCTTCAAGCAAATCGGACGGTTCATAATCTGTAAGAAATCCCCTCTCAATTTTCAGTTGAATGTCATTTAGCAATTCCAAAACATAAAATAATACTGGATGGTACAAAATACCATATTGAGTGGGATATAGTAGCTAATTTAACGTAAACTTGAACTCATTGAGCTGGGTGAACTACAATTTAATAAAAAAACTTGATTAAACAAAGGAGGAAGGATGAAAATTATTGGAAACGTCCAGCTTCATCCACTTTGGTAAATAGTTACTACGGATCCATATCTATCAATCGATCACTTTCCTTTCACTTATCCGTGATTCATATCTGTATGATCGAGACACAAATTAAATATATTGAATTGATCAATTTAGTGAACGTATTCATATGTACTCCTATACTGGAAGCTCCTTCTACATTATATATTGAGTAAAATATGTCGGTAGTGCCACACACTACTACAGAAACCCTAAATGGTGCCGGTTGGGAAACCCCCTTAGGTGCCGGTTTTCCCAAACGGCACCCTGCAGGTGGCACTGATTACCCAGGGTCAAAGGTGCCGGTTCCAAAACCGGCACCCTGCAGGTGGCACCCATGAGCCAAAAAAAAATCGGCTCGATGCATCGAGCAGATGCATTGAGCCATCAAGCTGATCCCATATAATACCCAAATCCTAAAATTTCCTCAAATCCATGAACACAAACTATAGTCAATAATCCTTAGAAAAGCAACACATCAACATCATATTCATGAAGAACACATTCAACACATCAACAACACATTCATCAAAAGGACAACAAGAAAAACAATCTCATCAAGAACAGGATGGAGAGGAGGAGGGCGCCACTGCCTTCTCCACCGCCACCGCCGCCACTGACGTCTCCACCGCCTCCGCCGTCGTCGGATGGAGAGGAGGAGGGCGCTGCTGCCTTCTCCACCACCACCACTATCGCTGCCGTGGGAAGCCGCCGTCGCCACCTCCCGGGCTGTCTCACCACTGCCGCCTCCCCTCCCGCCGCCAAGCCGCCGCCACCACCTCCCGCCAGATCTGGCGGAGGGGAGGGCACCGTCAACAGGCCGTCGGACCACCGCCGCATCCCCTCCTACCGCCGAGCCGCCACCGCCACCTTCCCTCCCGCCAGATCTGGCGGAGGGGAGGGTGCCGCTGCCACCTCCCGAGCCGTCGGAGGAGGAAAGGAGGAGAAGGGGACGACAGAGAGGGGGAGGAGGAGGAGGGCAGTGGAGAGGGGAGGAGGGGGAGGGCAGTGGAGAGGGGAGGAGGGGGACGGTGGAGAGGGGAGAGAAGCGAGAACGCTCGGTGGGGGAGAGAAGGAAAGGATAAGATCGGTGTGGTTGCCGGTTGGCCTTATCTCTTTCAGTGGGCCATGCTACCTCGGCTCGGCTGTTGGCTCGGCTTGATTCTTATGTGCCGGTTTTATATTATAGGTGTCGGCTTTTTAATTAACCAACACCTATAATATATTCTAGGTGTCAGTTAATTTTAAAAAAACTGGCACCTATAGAATAAGAATAGGTGTCTGTTCTTATTTAGAACCGGCACCTATAATTACTTAAAGGTGCTGGTTTTTCACTATTTTGACCCGCGGAAGTAGGAAAAGGCCTATAGGTGCCAGTTTTAGTACTTCCGGCGTCTATAGCGTCGACATCTATTTCGTTTTATAGTAGTGACAATTTATGAGGTGAGTGCAATCTAATTATTTAGTATCTCATAAAATGCTCAAACAAGTCACGCATCTATTTTGGTGCAAATCACATATAAAACAATGTATATGTGACCGAGACGCGATGCGATGAGAATGGTGTGTAGCTCAGCTGACATGGATTTGCCCGGAGCATATGCGTTGGCCTGGGGGGTTGATCTCCCTCGAAAGTAGGTTTTCTCTTTTTTTTTCTTGTATCAGTGTGCTCCTCGGATACGATGATATAAATATATTGTCTTACTATAAAGTTATAACCCACTAATTCTACATATCAACTCATCATCCACTAGCAATAATTACATATAAAACTTATACAAGCATATAACATCATCTATAATTCATTGAATTCTACAAATTAACATTATATTCAATCATCTTCCTTCACATTATTTTTCACAATATTTTTAACATATATATATCCATCATTTTTATAATAATTAACATATATTCATCCATATAATCAAAGTGCGGTAGATCATATTTCATCCACAATCTCATACAGAGTCTACTAATTTTATTTCTCTTGACAAACCAGTTTTATTTGTTGTTAATAACTAATATAATTTTTACTTTTAGCTCGATTATTAAAAAATATTAAAAGTTACATAGTAATTTTTGCGGCAAAGTACGGGGAATTACCTTGTTATATATATATATATATATATATTCTCCAACAATTTTCGCATGTAAATAAATCGAATTCAATTCTTGTCTTGTAATTAGTCCAAGACCATTGCATGTACGATCCCCACAAATCAAAGTTTTGTTCTTGCATGGGTAACTTCAGGGAGACGAGGAATCAGATTCTCGTTGATCACATCAGGAGCGTGATAGGCATTACAAGAAGGTTCTATTTCCATGGCTTAGTTTGGTTTTGCAGGCATAATTGCAAGCAAAAAACTTGGAGATGAAGCTAAACCTCTCCTCTCTTGCTTTGCTAGTTAACCATTCATACACGAAAACAAAAGGAGTATTAGAAAGATCGTAGCAATGATTTGTGTCCCTCGCTCTGAAATAGCAAGCAATTGGCAGAGAGCTTTTCTCACCACAATGTGTATCTGTGCCTGTACCACAACGTGGTCACACATGCATACGTATATAGGATTACACTGTGAGCGTTGTCGTTGTTGCATTGCCCTTCACTAAATTGGAATCCGAGGATGTTGGAAGGCATAACACATGTCTAAGTCTAGTATATATAAGAAATATGATTGTTTGATGAGAACAAAACAACAACGAATACACAGAAAATAGGAAACCCTGTATTTTATTAATCTTGATTTATTAACACGAATGTTTACAAATACACTGGGGCTCCCACAGGAGTTCGCCTTTTGCCTTCGTGAGGATTGCTTAATAGAAAGGTATGTAAATTGGAGATTGCATGAAGTCCGCTGATTCTTGGTGCCTAGCAATGAGGCGGCCGGTTAATTACATCCAAAAGACGAGCCTATGGAATACCTCTGATTAAGCTGTGCTTGTGATCGTCGTCTTCAAAATAATTTGTTCACCGAAGGTTGAGGTTGATACAGATTTAATATTGAGTATGGTAGAATGGGCGGTTTTGCCTCACCAACCCGGTCACGCTACATTAATATTATGTCGCGGATTTGCTTCACCAACCTGGTCGGTGTATAGAATAGGTGCCGTAACGAATGGGATAACTTTTGCCTCGTCAGTGCCCAGTCATATATTCCGTACTTGAGTTTAGAGATAATCATGGAAAATCTACTAATGATAGTGGGCCCACCTTTAATTTAGTTGGAAATGCATCTGATTGATCGCCACCAACAAATCAAACATAATCTACGTATATACCAGTCAATCTCTTTTTATGTGAATATGTCAAAACTTTAAACTATGCATCAATTTGAAATCTGTTTGCACCAATATTTTTTATTCGAAATATGCAACAGAACAAGTCCAATATATTTGGACACGTTTAATATTTGATAATTTAGGGCCCACATGTCATAAAATCTCACTCCATATGGCAAAAATATTTTCTATATCAATGTAAAATTGATGCATATTATTTGAAATATTTATTCTATGAATTTTAATAAAAAAATCATCGAATGATGATATTCATTATCTGTGTACTCCTCCTTATATAAATATATATGGAATACAAGCGCTTGTATGAGCATTTCCGACACTGCCACTCCCATAAACACACATACATAGATTATAGGCAAATTTTGCTACAGGACACTGCTACTGTGTGGTTTTAGTTGTGAGACACTGCCCAAACTCACTTTTGGGGGAAAACACTTTATAAATGTGGTAATTTGCCAACGGACACCGCACCGATTAAAATAATGATTTGAGGAGGAGAGAGAAATCATGTAAAATATCAAAAATACCCTTAGGTCCATATGTCATCCCTTCATCTCTCTTCCTCTCTTTCTCCCTCCTTTCTCTCTTCTCCCGGTCGTGGCTTGTTCGGTGATGGCGGTGACGGCGGTGACGCGCGGAGTGCGCGCGGCCTACTCGGCACCGGTGGCCGCTAGAGGACCTCCTCCTCCACACCTGACGGCGTACTTCGCCGATGCCGCCGTTGTCCACCCCTGATGATCTCCCGTAGCCGCCGCTCCACTGGTGCCGCGTCGTCGTCTGGCCGTGGCCGCTCTCCCTCGCCCACGCCCGTACCTGCAGCTGCTCCACGACTGCCGCGTCTCGGCAGCGGGGGAGACGGTGACGGCGACGAAGATATTTCCACCTCTCCTCGCCCCAGCCACCTCATGCCAGCGCTCCTGATCTCCTCTCGCGGCGGCGGTGGCGGTGCGCTTGGCTTCCAGCACGGCGTCTCCGCCTGCTGCTCTGCAGCCTCTACTACTGCACGCGGCAAGAATGCATCAGGATTGTACGGTAAATTGCACAGCCATGAATTAATCAAGGCATCAACATATACATTGATGATGGGCCAGAGATTTGAGTTTTTACTCGGGCATGGAAAGGGCAGGATGTCTCGAGTTAGGGTACGGCTGCGTGTGCCAGAGCGGCCTAGCAAAAATGTCAGCTTCAGTTACAGTCTGCAAACTTAGTCCCGATTTTATCGACATTGCTCCGCCGCCGCCGTGCTCATGTGCTCGGTGCCGCCGCTTGCCATCGCGCTGTGCGTCGGGTGGCCGCTGCGCCTTGTCGTCGTTGGCGGTGGGTCCCCGGCGGGGCGCCGCCGCTTTCCCGGCCGTGAGCTGAGCCGTCCCGGCTCGGGCCGTCGCGCCGACCGTGAGTTGTGCGGCTGCTAACCTGCGGCAGGAGGAAGAAGAAGAAGAGAGAAAGAAAAGAAAGAGAGGAAGAGTGATGAAGAGCTGATATGTGGGCCCAAGGGTATTTTTGACATTTCACGTGATTTCTTTCTCCTCCTCAACTAGAAATCATTATTTTAATCGGCGCGGTGTCCATTGGCAAATTACCATGTTTATGGAGTGTTTTTCCCCAAAAGTGAGTTTGGGCAATGTCCCATGGCTAAAACCACACAATAGCAGTGCCTGTAGCAAAAATTTGCCTAAATTATATCTCTATTAACACCTCCGTGTAGAACAGACTTTTATCCAAACATACAACCTAGAACCTCTCGGCGACAATAATTGAGAAGGATGGTCCGCCGAAGCAGCAGCAGAGCTAGCTCCCCCTACAACTACTAAAATAATATATAGTATCCATCAATACCTAAAATAAATTAGTCGATGAACAAAAAAAAACACTATTAGTCGTATGGGCTCAACAACGACCACTAGTGGAGAAATCATCTTTGCTCGGTCGGCCGAAATCCACAATAGTCCCGGTTGCACTAAAAACCGGGACTAAAGATGATCTTTAGTCCCGATGCAAAAGGTTAGAGCTACTTTTTGATCTTTAGTCCCAGTTGATATTTCTAAAGATTATTTTTAGTCCCGGTTCAAAAGACGGCAGGTGGTGTTAGACCCCTTTTTATCTTTAGTCCCGGTTGGTCTATTTTTAGTTCCGATTGGTGCTACCAACCGGGAAAAAAGATCGAGATTGAGAGGACCGAGGCGCACGGGAGGATCAGTTAATAAGTTCTGACCTTTATCTCCTCTTCTCCTCACTCACGCATCTCTTCCTCTTCCTCCTCCCATCTCTTCCTCTACCTCGTCTGGATCCGCCCCCTCCCCTCTCCTCCCCACTTCTCAGGCGGCGGCGGCCGGGCGGCCGTGGAGGCGGACTCGCGCGGCCGGGCGGTGGAGGCGGCCTCGCGCGCCCTCACACGGTAGCTGGGCGACGAGGCACAGCGCGCGGCGCAGGCGGCGGGGCCGCACATGGGACGGCAGCGCGCCGGCTCTCCTCTATTTTTTTATAATTTGTGATTGAGAGATGTATAATTTCTTTTTAAAAATTTATGATTTATTGCATGGATCTGAGATGTATAATCGATCTGTGATACATTTGATTTGTGTGTAATTTTTTAAAAATTTGTGATGTATTTGATTTGTTCCTAAGTAACTTAGGATTTGTATTTGTGATGTGAATGATTTATGATGTTACTTTGATTTGGGGATTTAGGGTTTGATTTAGGTATATACATGACACTCGATTTGGGGATTTGTTGTTTGATCTGGGTATATACATCCCACTCGATTTGGAAAAAAATAAAAAGAAAATGGACCAATCGGGACTACCCCTATCCTCTCTTTAGTCCCAGTTGGTCCGGGACTAAAGATCCCTCTCTTTAGTTCCGGTTGATGGGGACTAAAGATCGATCTTTACTCCCGGTTATTTCACCCGGGACTAAAGATAGCGATCTTTAGTCCCGGGACTATATGGGTTATAAACCGGGAGTAAATATGGTTTCTTCACCAGTGGCCGCTAGCTCCGGCGCCACTGCAACTAAGCACAGCTCTAACCCCTAAGCCTCCACATCAGGGTCATCATGTGCTCAATAGAGGACGAGAATCGTTGGAAGCGATCGAATAGAAGGCAGTCGAGCTGGATGATCGATGGTGAATTAGCCTATAATCTAAGCAGATGGGTCGATGCATGGTTTGATTGGTCTAATGATATTTTTGCAGTATATAAATGCTGGCCCATATATTAGTGTTTTTTTAGAACCCATATATTAGTGTTCAGATGGGCCGGCTCCCTACTGTGATCTGTGATGGAGACTGGTTCACCGAATGCTCATAGACACGCGTGCACACCCACCCTTTAAATACACACACATAGGCCTTGTTTAGATCCAGAGGGCTAATTATTAGCCCTCAGGAATCTTGCTATTGAGAAGTATTAAATATAGATTATTGATAAAACTCATTCCATAATTCCTGATTATTGATAAAACACATTCCATAATCGCTGAGCTAATTTGCGGGACGAATCTAACGAGTATATTAAATCCATGATTTACTACAGTGATGCTACAGTAATTATCCGCTAATTATGGATTAATATACCTCGTTAGATTCGTCTCGCAAATTAGCCCAGGGGTTATGAAATTGGTTTTATCAGTAATCTATATTTAATACTTCTAAATAGCAAGATTCTGGAGGGCTAATAATTACATCATATGCATGTATATTTGTATGCGTACTGCTAAAAAATAATTAATCTTAAATACAAACGCACGTGCTAAGTTTAAAACTTGAACACAAGGTGGATAAGTTTCGTAACAACGAAGCTAACCAGTTTGATCGAAGTGAACATCGTAAGGTCGGTATATGGCTAATCCAACTCAACAAATGCACCCTTGCCTAAGTAAAATTGTAAAAACCACCCTCAAAGTCACTTAAAGTTTGACATTCCATCTCATAAATCATTTTGTTACAAATGTCCACCCACCTACTTAGTTTTATTACAAAACCACACCAGTGCACACGTTAGGCCAAATCAACATGTTTTCATAAATTGTGAGCTATCAGTGTGGTTTTTACCAAAATTAAATACTTCTAGGAGGATAGTCTTGATACTTTTTTGAAGATACCATAGATAAAATGGTTGATAAAAGCTTAAATGTCGCCGCACTAAATTTCACTATATAAAAAAAATTCAATGAAACACAAAAAAAATAAATCCAATACAAGCACTTGGACAAAATTGAATCGGCTAGCTTAGTCTGTGGTCGCTCTATATCAACGATAATGGGCTAATTATATTAAACATGTGCGCCCTATGGTATTTTTTGCAACAAAATTAAGTAAGGGTGGGGATTTGTAATTTTCCTTTTTGAGGTTTTGCACGGAGATTATGAACGTAGGTGAATTTGAATAAACAATTGTTATGATTGGTTGAGATAAGAAATTAGATAGAGAAACTAAATGAAGGGTAATTGACATTGGTAGAGAGAAGGGAGTAGGCGGAGACAGAAGCTGTTATGGCTTAGGAAAAATTAATGTCAAATGTTACGAGTTGTTATATTTTGAAACGGAGAAGGTATACAGGCATCTCTTGACTTCCAGATAAAAATGTGTCAAAACATGTACATTAAAAAAATATGTTCCCTTCATCCTAAAGATTTTTGAAGTTTAAAATGTCTCAAAATAAGTTAATCCTTATACTCCCACTACCTTCGATTCATAAATCATAAAATGTTATACCTTTGATATATTATATCTCTACGCACCACCTATTAATAATTCCCCGTGTCATTTGTTGAAATTGGCGATCAATGTTAGATGGCAAAATTAAATAAACCACCCCCAAATGATCACTTATTTTTGAGATTCTACTCCATAACCCATTTTATTGCAATAGTCTACCCACCCAACACACGTGGGTAGTTGATTCGGCCCATTTTTTCCTACGTGGATTCATAGCAACCCATATCAGTCAGGTCGTGCTTATCCAACGTGACTCTGATGTGAGTCTAACTCGAGCTCATTCTCAAGCTAGACGACTGTGAACACCGAGGGGGCTGAACACGAAAACGATTGGCATCGGCATCATTGATTGACGGCAAATCCACATTGATAAAAATGAGCCAAATCAACTAATTATTTGTATGGAGGGGGCCATTTCGACCTGACAGAGTTTCAGGTGGTGGGCTATGGCAAGAAAATAAATTATGGGATGGAATCTCAAAACTGTGACAATTAGGGTACTATTCCCTAATTGCAATTTCGTTAGGATATAAAAGCTACAATTACAGGTAATTTGAAACGGCAAAGCACTACTTTCGTAAGAGACACTGTATTATTCTTTTTCTTCGCTTCTAAACTTTTTCTTAGGATTTTAGGAGTTTGTTTATTTTAGCAATGAGGGGATTAGATCATTAGATGTTATCATGTTATCATTAATTTATGTCACCCTCTGTGTGGCGATCCGCGTGTCTCACACGGATGAAAGCATACATGAGTGAAAGCAACAGTCGCTGAGGGTGAGCCATGGGCTAATAATGGAGAGGTACAACCGTTGGCATTCGGAGCTCTATGGGAATTACTCTTTCTAACAGTGGAGCTTCTCCATCAATTGCTTCAGATCTGGCCAGTACAGATTCAGTCGACAAGCTAGGGACGATCAATAACTCAACAATGGTCTCCACACTAGTAATGCATGTCGATCAAACTCTGGATCTAGAAGGCATTATTTTTATTTTCTGTAGCGTTAGAAAAGCTAAAGCTGAAGAAATGTGAGTAATAAAAGCCATGACTTTTATGTTTTATCGTTTCGACAGTGCCAAATCGCCTAACAAAATAAAGTACTGCACAGGATTGATCAATTGTATACGCGATGTGTTACGGTCTGCTTACAACCTATAAGGGCTCATGTATAGAAAAATCATTTTTTAAAAGTAGTTTGATATATTGTTTGATTGACGGAAGATGGAAACACTATTGTATTTTCATAACAACTGGTTCCGGAGAAAAGAACACAGATCAGGAATAGTGTTTTTTTTTCTTGGTTGTATGTTAATAATTCCATATATATCTCACAAAAGTCCATTACTTTGGAAACAGCTGCAAGGGACAAATTAAAGCAACAGACAATAGAATAAGCTCGTCATGAACAGAGCAATACACTTAAACCTAACTGTCAACTACTTGTGAGTTGTGACTTGTGAGACACCAAAACACTACCATATCTTCTATCTTTACCTACCAATCTTCAGCTTTGGCTCTAGTTTCTACTCCCTCCGTTTCAGTTTATAAGACGTTTTGTCTTTGATCAAAATCAAACCGCTTTAAATTTGACCAAGTTTGAAGAAAAAAATAGTAACATTTTTAACCCAAAAGAAATTTATTATGAAAATATATTCAATTATTTATTTTATAAAACTAATTTAGTATTATAAATATTACTATATTTGTCTATAAACTTAGTCGAACTTAAAATAATTTGACTTTGACCAAAGTTAAAACATTTTATAACCTAAAACGGAGGGAGTAGTATACATGGGAGAATAATGGTGTTCCATTCACTGGTGGAGAAAGGGGCTTTACACCCGGTTCGTAACCCCCTGTAGTCCCGGTTTTCCAACCGGGACTACGAATCCGGGACTAAAGATCGCTATCTTTAGTCCCGGGTAAAAAAAACAGGAGTAAAAATCCATTTTTAGTTACCAACCGGGACTAAAGATAGAGTATCTTTAGTCCCAGTTGGTAACACCAACCGGGACTAAAGAGGCTAGCTCAGGTTGCTACTTCATTCTATTCTTTTCTTCATTGTTTTTAATATATTGATTCACTCTATCCCATCCCAAAATCCCAAATCAATCATCCCCGAATAGTCTCCAAATTCTCAAATCAATCTCTAAATACATAACAAAATCTTAAAAAAATTACATCACAACTTCTACAAAATTCATCACAAATACATCACATATTCACATCACACACAAATCAAATACATCACATATTCACATCACACACAAATCGCCTCAGATCCGAATCACAAATTTAAAAAAAAGAAAGAAAAAAAAGGAAGAAGATGAACGGCCCGCTGTCGTGGCGGCGCGCCGCGTCGCCGGCCGCCGCCGCACCGCCCGCCGCGTCCCCGGCTCCGCCGCCAGCCGCCAGCGCGCCGCCACGCCGCCTCGCCCGGCCCTCCGTGCGCCGCGCCGCCTGCCGCGTCCTCGGCCGCCGCCACGAGGCCGCCAGCCGCCAGCGCGCCGCCTCACCCGGCCCTCCGCGCGCCACGCCGCCACGTGGGCCGGCCGGGCCTCTGCGCCCCGCCGTTGCAGAGGGAGGTGGGGAGGAGGGAGAGGAGGAGAGGAAGGGAGGAGGGAGAGAAAGAGATAAGGGTGACTCTGTGAGATGAGTTAAAAAAGGAGAGGAGATTGTATTGATCCGATCCGCTTGCAACCACCCCGCTTATGTCGACTTTTTTCCCGGTTGGTGTTACCAACCGGGACTAAAAATAAATCTTTAGTCCCGGTTGGTAACATCAACCGGGAGTAAAGCTTATATTGATCTTTTTTCCTGATTGGTAACACCAACCGGGACTATAAATAGATCTTGATCAAAATTCCTCAGAGCTTTTAAACCGGGACTAAAGATATTTTTAGTCCCAGTTTTTAATACAACCGGGACTATTGTGAAATCTGGTGGACCGATCAAAGATGGTTTCTCCACCAGTGATTGTTTCGTACGCCTTTCCCACAGAATTGGTATTTTTTATCTCCTTACTAGCCCTCTCTTTATCAAATCATCATTACCTCGCTACAGTACATTTCTCAAAAGAAGCCAAATTAATGAAAATTTTCACTCTCAGGGGTATTTTAAACTTGCATATTTTCTTAAAAGGGTTAAGAATAGTTCTGCATCTTCAGTGCCTCATAGAAGGACTTCACATGAGTATATTTACCATCTTTTGTAGGTTTCCAAATTTCTTAATCTCTTAGCTCACTTAAATGCAAAGTCAAGCATCCATTTCTTTTTATTTTCCATGCTTAGTTTCTCCCCACTCAAAGTTGTCCTAATTTGGTCACCTCCAAACCTTTATATCCAGCAAATTTAACTGGTGTGATTTGTTTTGTAAAGGTGAAATTGTATAAATTCTTCGATTTACTAATATGTTCCACTACGTATGTTTCCTTGTAAATCAGCTTCATAAGCAGGAACGCTACCGTAATTTGCATTTTTCTACTATTCTGTCCTATTTATATATGATTCTCGATTGGAAAAGGAAGCTAATTTCTTTTTTTAACACTAGCAAAAATACCCGTACGTTGTAACGGGTGAAAAATTCAATGACAATATATGCCTTTCATGAATAATCTTGTCAATAATAATATTTGTATTGGTCGTTAGAGCTAAAACATATCATAAGAAAAATTAGAAAATCTTCAACTAAGGGCTCAACATCGGCGGTAACAACCTTACCAATGCTTTGATTTACCCAAAAGAATTGGTCATTCATGTGGTAGCATACGTATAATCTAAAATACTTTTTTAATCTTATTCTTGCTATTAAAATAGGATCAATTAAATCTTACACTGTCTCGAATGGTCAAGTCTACACAGAATAGAACCACCATACACTCTTCTCTTTAAATCCTACGTAGACATGCAGGGCCACCAATATAGGAGAATAGATGAGGAAACAAAAGCCGTCTAGGAGATGGAAAAAATCGATGAATCCTATCTGACCCAAACGTCCATCAATTTGATCTCGTTCTTAGGAGAGAAAAAAGCTCAAGCAAGATTTGTCTTATTTCCAGATGTCAGAACATTTGACCAATGGTTCAAAAAAAAACCAAACCGACATGGTAAAGATGGACGATACGAACATTATGAATCTTTTTCATGGAATCGGTTGTTTTTTTTCCTAAATTCGGACAGTTTTTTTTTTTTGGCATTGCACGGTGCCGAACCAGGTTTTTTTATAAACTGTAGCGTTTTTCTCACGTTGAGTCAACTTTTTTTAAGAAGTTCTTTTATAAATTGCGATGTTTTTCTCGCGTTGAATCGTACGGTTTTCTCGAAGAAAAAATGGGTTTTTTTCTCGCATTGAGTCAGATGGTTTTTTTTATATATAAACGGCGTTTTATTCTAACAATTTCTTTGACGTGTTTTTTATAAGGCCTTGCGGTTTATATAAACTTTTACATCTTTAGGTGGATTTTGATGTATGATATTTTGAATGAATAAAAAAAGTAAATTCAAAAGGGGAAATTTGAATTCGCTTTTAAATTTCCAAATCTACTTTGAGGAATATTTGGAAAAGTTGAAAATGCCAAACTGGTTTCTTTAATTAAAATCGGACTTCTTTTTTAACGTTGAGCGGAAACTTTTTTTTTCCACCAAACTCCTTTGTTTTAGGAATTTTTGGAAAAGCAACTGTTTTAGTGGAATCGGACAAACGTAGCACGAGAACTTTTTTCCACTAACTTTTTTTTGGGAGGACCGGCTTATCCGGACCTTTTTTAAAAAAATCGGACATACACCTTTTTCTGCACTATTTTTTTCCTTTTTTTCGCGGAAGGGAAACCTCTTTTTTTTCGCACAGACTTTTTTTTTATTTTGGAATCGGACAGGAAAACTTTTTTTTTCGCACGGACGTTTTTTTTATTTTGGAATCGGACGAAAAAAATTTCGCGTTTTAATTTGGAATCGGACAGACTTTTTTCGTGCGTATTTATTTTTTCCCGGTACGAACGATTTTTTTTAAATCGGACATAAACTTTTTTTCCGACTCAAACACGAATGACAGACCGCGGAAATATCCTTAATTTTTATAATATAAGTAGAGATATAGTTCCAAGCTATTTTTTGATTCGAATAGCACAGAGGATGACTAGGGATCGGTCGCCCGATCCAAATCTCCAAAAATCGGGCGCTGACGTCAGCAGCGCCACCCATATATGCAAAACCACTTTAAACTAATTTTTCTCTTAAATTATTTATCTAAATCATGATCCGGTTACACCATTAAATTCGTTACAATTAAATCTTCAAAACAAGACCACACATGGATATATTCCGACGAAAATTTTTTTAGCTTATTATTGAATTTTTTAAAATATTGTACGATGTTCTACCAGGTATATCAGAATTGTTTTACTAAGTATATCAAAAATGTTTCAATTGTTTAAATCGAGCGTTGTTTCACCTTATATAAAAACAATGTTTCAGCAAATAGCGAAAGAATATTTTAGTTCAATGCAACATTTGATCCATATATAGTGAAACATTATAAGTATACTAGGTGAAATATTTTTGGTGGAACAAAAAATAAAACGAATTCCCTTAATAGAGGGTTTACAAAATATGTGGGTGATTTGTTGCAATGGAGTATTTCAGTTCACTGCAACATTAGATCTATACATAGTGAAACATTAGATCTATATATAATGAAACATTGTTAGTGCATTAGATGAAACATTTTGGTGGAAAAAAAATAAACCAAATTACCTTAATAGAGAGTTTCCAAAATATGTTGGTGATTTGTTGCAATGGTAGGTGGAAGCAGAGAATATGGTGGGACCAGGCGCCTGCATGCAAGCGCGTGGGGGAAGGGCGCGCAGGGGAGAGCCCGATCGGCTCCACCCCCGTTGGGCGCCTGGGTTGCAGTATTATCCGAATAGCACTCCATCAAATTTAGTCATGCGTTCGCCTGAACACAAGTATGACATTGGCATAGCACACACTATAAATAGCCAAAAGGCCCGAGACCCGATGGCCCGTGCCGGCCTGGCCCGACCACCGGGCCGTGCCTTCCCCCCCCCCCCAACCGGCAAGTTGGGCCGGCAGGTTAGCCCGACACACAAAGGATAGGGAGTAAAAATAGACATTATATACCAGGGTCCAAAAAATAGTGACGTAAAATAGACTTATTTTCACTATATATATATGTCAGCCCAAAGAGGAGGGAGGGAAAATAGATTTATTTAAAAAAAGACACGATGGGCCATCCGTGCCTTCGGACCAGCACGGTGGGTCGTGCCTGGGCCAGAGGTGCAGCCCATGGGCCGGGGACGTGCCGACCGGGCCTTATGGCCATCTATGGCACACACAACAAACCCATATGTACAGAAACTTAGGGCGATTTGTAGTGCACTTTAAAATGTAAAAGAAAGAGGGGAAACTGTTTTAATCTCCAAAGCCTTTCTCGTCTTTAGGCACAAGAACATAGAAATTCAGGATAGAGTGAAAGACTTGAGATCGAGCATGATGAGCAATAGTTATTTGTAACGCTGCAAGTAGCCAACAAGCTCATCGAGGTACATCTCCTGCCGACCCTCGTCTCCAAGAACATCGCGCAGCTCCTCGGCCTTGCGCGACAATGCCTTCCCCTTCTCCTCCACCATCACCTGCCGCACCGCCGCCGCAATGGCGTCCCTACGGAACGATCCGTCGTCGTTGCACGCCACCTCCACGCCGATCTCCCTCGCCGGCAACGCCTGCACGCCTAGTCCCTGGTCGGCGAAGAGCGGCAGCATCACCAGCGGGAGCGCGAACCGCAGGCTCTCGAAGATGGAGCTCCACCCACAGTGCGTCAAGAACCCGCCCGTCGCCCGGTGCGCCAGGATGCGCAGCTGCGGCACCCATCGCGCGCACACCAGGCCACCACGCGCCGCCGCGACGCGCGACCGGAACCCGTCCGGGAGGAGGAGGTCGGCGTCGGCGGCGCATTTGTCACGGTTTACGCTCGACGCCGACGGCGGCGCGCGGAGCGCCCAGAGGAAACGGACTCCGGCGAGCTCCAGCCCGAGCGCGAGCTCGCGCACGTGGCCTACCGTCAGTGGCGCCTCGCTCCCGAGCGCGACGTAGATGACGGATCTCTCCGGCTGCTCGTCGAGCCACCGCATCGCCATGGCGATGTGCTGGTCGTCCATGCTAACATCGTCGTCATCGTCGTCGACGCCGGCAGCAGGAGGAGGAGGAGGCATGAGGAGGCCGGCGGGGACGGACGGCTTGGCGAAGAGCTCGGTGAGGAGCGGGAACAGCCGAGGCTCGGCCTCGGGGCAGCTACGGTGGATGATGAGGCGGCAGCAGGCGTGCTCCATCTCCCAGAATCGGTCGGCGTCGGACACGCCGGAGGCGTTGGGTCGGAAGACGGCGGCGATCCATTCCGCGCCGTGGCGCCGCCGGTAGGCGACGTTGGAGGGGAAGGGGATCCATGGCGGCTGGACCATGAAGTGCTCCGTCTTGGTGCGTGGGTGAGCCAGGTTCTCTTGTCTCGGGCCGACGAAGGCCACCATGGCCGCCGGGAAGATGGAGAACATGGCACATGGGATCTTTAGACAAAAAAAAATGAAAACGAAAAAAAGTATGAGTCAGTTTCTTTAGTCCAAAATTGAAATGGTGGAATTATCTATGATAAATTTACAGAAACTGAACTAGTTTATGTGAAAATTAATCGTATAAAATTCATACGTTTTAAGGGGTGTTGTGTTTGGCTCACCTTGTGCTCCTCGGCGATCGGCCATACCCAGTTTTGCGCGAAGTCGAGTATGATCCAGTCAGGCTTCCTCGAGAACCCGGCGGCGGTGGGGGTGGATTCTCCATGGCCGGCGGCGCAGGCCTCGGCAACAAATCCGGCGAAGGGTGCCGCCAAGCCATCGAACGCCTTCTTGAGGAGCCCGACCTTCTCCGGCGGGGCGTCGGCCGTCGACTCGGCGCCCTCCGGCAGGCCGTCGACGGCCGGGAGGTCGAGCGGCACGACGCGGAGGTGGGCGGACAGCGCCGGCGGGATCGCGCCCAGCCTCGCGGCGTTCCTCGGCGTGGAGACGAAGGTGACGGCGAGGCCGCGCCTCGCCAGCCGCTTGGCGAGCTCGAGGAAGGGGATCATGTGGCCGAATGCCAGCCATGGGAACATCACGATGTGAAGTGGAGAAGAAGATGAAGCTGAAGCCGCCATTGGCGCCGCCTCTCTGGTCGCTTCCATGGCTGATTTCTTGGATATGTGAGATGAGACTTGCGATGATCCTGTTATTGATCCTGTAGTACTAATCCTATACAAAAGTGTCAACTGCTGAAGTGTGATATTATATGATACAGTTGCCATTCACGAGCTTAGTTTACTGCAGATGAGATTTGGATTTTCTGCTTGACCTTCCAATGGTTGATCTATTATATTTGGTTTACGCATTTGACTAAATATACTCCATATACACTAATTTTCAGAGCATAGATATAGAAACATTTCCTTCAACTTATCAAAACATCAAATTTACTCCTTACAGAACTTTTAGATTATATTCAAATTTTTCGGGATCTAAACAAGGCCTCAGGTTGTGTTTATTTTCCTTCAAACTTTCAAAAATTCCGTCACATCAAATGTTTGGACATATGCATGGAGTATTAAATGTGGACGAAAAAAATAATTGCACAGTTTGCATGTAAATTGCGAGACGAATCTTTTGAGCCTAATTATGCCATGATTTAACAATGTGATGCTATAGTAAATATTTACTAATGATGTATTAATTAGGCTTAATAGATTCATCTCGTAGTTTACAGGCGGAATCTGTAATTTATTTTGTTATTAGTCTACGTTTAATGTTTGGACATATGCATGGAGCATTAAATATAGACAAAAAAAAAACTAATCGCACAGTTTACATGTAAATTGCGAGACGAGTCTTTTGAGCCTAATTACGCCATAATTTGATAATGTGAGGTATAATAGATTCATCTTGCAGTTTACAGGCGAAATCTGTAATTTATTTTGTTATTAGTCTATATTTAATATTTAAAAAAATTGAAATGGAACTAAACAGGCCTTAATCCCGATTTGCAAACCACGGTGGCATGTGAGGTAAGGATAGTAGCTATCGAATCTGTCACCGATTATTTTAATCAACGATGGATACATGACAGAATTTGTCGGTGGTGCCCATCTCCTGTCGTCCTCCCCATCTCCAACTAGCGCGTTTCCTTTTCATTTTATCGTTCACGTTAAAATTAGAAGTTTGGTTCAAATTGAAACGGTGTGACAAAAAAGTTAAAAATTTGTGTGGGTAGAAACGTTTTGATGTGATGAAAAAGTTGAAAGTTTGAAGAAAAAGTTTAGAACTAAACTTGGCCTCAGCCTAGTCTTCAACTACCCTCCCACCCCCACATGCACATTAACTAAGAGCCTGTTTAGGTAAAATGAAAATTTTTAGGTGTCACATCGGACGTTTGACCGGATGTCGGAAAGAGTTTCTGGACACGAATAAAAAAACTAATTTCATAACTCGTCTGGAAACCGCGAGACGAATCTTTTGAGCCTAATTAATCCGTCATTAGCACATATGAGTTACTATAGCACTTATGGCTAACCGTGAACTAATTAGGCTCATATTCATCTCCCGATTTATATGTAAACTGTGCAACTAATTTCATTTTATCTATATTTAATGCTCCATACATGTGTCCAAAGATTTGATGTGATGTTTTTTGTAAAAGTTTTTGGGAACTGAACAACCCCTAAAAGCAACTTTGCTCGTGAAATAAGCGTAACTTAACTGGTTAGATTATATGTGATTAAATTTGTTGTGAAGGAATCAGTTCACCTTAGCTTAACTGGTTAGGTTTTATGTGATTAGATTTCTTGTGATAAAATTAGTTCACCTAAGTTTAAGTTTTAGACTTGACACGGGTACTTATTCCCTAAAAAAAGACTTAACACGGGTACTCATATTTACATCTAATATTATTTTAATGGTAGGCGATGTACCCGTTGACAGCGGGGCGTCTATGGTAACTTCATCAATCTCAAGATATTCCGGTTCAGTCTTCCGGAGATGCTCACAGTGATACGATGCACGTGTTAACTTTCATAAGTATGAGCGTGCACGCATTATAAGTGTTTGCATTTAAACCTTTCTAAAAAATAAAGCAACTTTCCTCATTTAGAATATAGGAATTTTACTGAATTTTTAGTAAGTTGGTGCTAGATCCGCAAAAATCTTTCAAAGCCGAATTATCTTGATTTGTAGGTATCTATTACTTAAAGAGTAGTTGTCCATCCGCCATCCTCCCCCACGCTATGCCCGCAGCACACCCCTCAACAAAAAAAAAAAAGTTAGAAAATTTGTCGGATCAAGGTGTTTTTTACTTACCTTGTATAGATATTAAAAATTTATTTTTACCAAAAACGTCACACTAAATATTTGGACACATGCATGGGACATTAAATGTGGGGAAAACCAATTGCACAGTTTGTATATAAATTACGAGACGAATCTTTTGAGCCTAATTACGCCATGATTTGACAATGTAATGCTACAGTAACCATTTGCTAATGACGGATTAATTAGGCTTAATAAATTCTGTTTACACCCAAATTTAGCACCTATGGACGAAATAGGGGAAAATTGCTAAAGTTTAGAAAGTGACGGGTTTCCTTACTCTGGAAGGCAGGTTTCGTGTTTCTTTTGGTTTCTATCCCAAGTTGGATGTGGAGAAGGGCCTGTAGAGGGCAAGACCAACCCCTATTTAAGGGACAAGGCCGGTTCATTGTAAAACCCCCGAATACAATCTACTTGAATCGTTCTTTTACCATGTTCTATTTTACCCTAGTTTAGTCCATCTTTGTCGGTTTGCGCCGTAAACCGTCCGCCGCCGCTGCGAGAGTGCGACACCTCTTTGTAGGTTTGTCCTGAAAACCTTCCGTTTTGCCCACGAGACGGGTAGTTATCCTCATATCGATCTAAATCGGCCTAGAGGCTGATTTTGATCTCTAAATCGGCTTCGCTAGCCGGTTTAGCTTTTCTTTTTGCAAAACCCATCTTTATTTGGCCCTTTGGCTAGATCGAGGTGGTTGGCGACTCCATATCACTGCAAGGCGTTTAGGTGTTGCGATCGTGCTTGTCGACTTGTTACAAAAAGTTGCCAACAAATTCGTCTCGCTGTTTACAGGTAGAATATGTAATTTATTTTGTTATTAGTCTACGTTTAATACTTCAAATGTTTGTTTTGTTATTAGTCTACGTTAAATACTTCAAATATACTTAAAAATTTTACACCCAAAGAAAAACACACCCTCAATCCCCACTTTTAATGGCATATGGACCCATAAAATAGGCAATAGCCTCCATCCCTCTTCCCGTAGCATATGGACCCATAAAATAGACAATAGCTCTAAAATAGTCTCTTTTACATAGTACGCGCCGTAACCGTGACCCATGGACCCATGGTTGCAAGTTGTGGCTAAAAGAGGGAGAACCTTACCTAGTCCGTCCCACTTCCCTCGTACAAACCGCAGCCTAGAAAACACATTTTTCAGGGAGAAAAAACGACGAGCTGTATAGAGAAACAGAATAAACCACTCACCCCAAAACCGTCTAATTTTTTTATTAAAAAAAAAAAGCGTTACAACGCAAGGGCCCATAATAATTGATTATTATTATTAAATCACACTTGGGCTTTTGGTATTGTGTACGTAAACAGCCGTTAGCCTCTTTTTGAGAACCACATATGAGACAACATCACAGGACAAATGAACCGCAAAGTAGCTCTCAATCTGATTGATATAACTTCATCTATATATTATTGCATGTACTAGTCAAATCCTTGATATATAAAGGAATTGATGATGTGGTTCCAAATCAATCAAAAATTGTTATATGCCTTGTTTTCAAATGATGGGGTGCGAGTGCAACAACACATGTATCCAACGGAAAACCAAGCTTACATGTACTATCATCATAGAATTAATCAAATTCCGTTGAGCTTTCCATGGCGTGAAAGCCAAAAACAAAAAGGTCAAAAAAGGGGTGACCCTCTTCATCAGATTTAGCCATTTGCAACGATTTCATGGATCTTGTCACTGATCTCAGGATCATCTGATCTGACTGCTAGCTTCATGGCCACTTCCTTCGGTCCGCTAAGTCCGAATGACAGCCTCACTAAAACTTTCACATTGCCGATAAACACACCAGATAGCAGGCAAGTGTGTGACCTCGAATTGCTTGGGACCACATCAGTTCCCTAAAAACCAAAGGCGAGAAAATGGTTAGGTGAGATTATCGTTTCATGAAGCAATGCTCAATATGCTAACTCTATTTCATATGGTTGCCGATTAGATAAGAACTAGCATCACATTATTAAAATTAACTTCAGAAAAAAAAAAAACTATCATGGTATAAAAGGTTACAAACTGGCAGGACTTCGTATTCATTCAATAGATAAATTAGAAAGTGACTGACCTCGCAGGGCTGCATGCCAAGGATGCCTATGACAGCACTCACAGCCTCAGCCAGGCTTTCCCTGGCGCCAAGCCCATACTCATCAACCCGCTCGCTTTCTGGATCCATGCTTTCCCAAGCATTTCTGAAGTTAGAAACTCCAACCTTCAACATATAATCAGCAGAAGTAATTTCCAGATCTTCAAGCTGGTACTCATCCTCAACGCCATCATCATCAGCTTCACCTGTGGATGGATCAACCTGAAACACAGTTCCAGTTAAATAAAACCAGTCAAACCGTCTACTGCATCAACTGAACATGTAGATGCATAATAATCTCCTCAAGGAATAAAAAATATTAAGATCCCAAGTAAAACATCAAGGGATAAATCACAAACTCTATGTGAAAGGAATAAGGAGAATGTTTTCGATTCGACCAAGGTCCAGGACATCCTCAGAATTAAATGTGAAGGAAAATCGATTGATTCAGACCATATGTGAAAACAGAAAAAGAACAATACTGGGAGCACATACCTCTTTAACAATAAATTTCAGTATATTTGAGAACTTCCCAGTAGCAAGGACACCTTCTAGCTTTTCAAAAGCCACAAAGGTTTGTCCTGGTGAATCATAAGGTAAGGATCTTAATGATTTCGTTGCAACTTCTGAAAATTCATCGGCCTCAGAAGCATCCACAAAAACCACCACCTGAAATAAAAACATTGTTCAGAAAAGCACTAATCCATAAATAAAAATACTGAGTGGAAAAAATCGTTTACCTCTTCAAGCAGCTGTTCAGGTATAGTATTGGTACAATTGTATTGGAGCACAACATGCCCGTCATAAATGTGCTTCACAACATTGACTGAATATTCAGTTTCAGCTTCGGTCAATTCTACAGGAGCTGATGACTGAAAAAAAGGATAAAAAGTCAAAACATAAGTGGTAGAACATAGTGATATATTTTCAGTGGGAACAAAATAAAAGAACACCAAGCTAACCTTAAAGAGTTTTCCAAAACCAGCAAACTCAGGAATGGATGAAAGAAGCTTCTCATATGAGGCATCAACAGTAGGAACTGGACCGCTGAGAGCAGATGCTGGGCCTGTTGGCTTTTTGCCCGTAGTCTTTTTCTCAGCAAGAGGTTGTGATTTAGTTTCCAAAGATACAGATGAAATATCAAAAGGTGCCTCTGATGGTTCCTGCAACATACGACAAGAATGTAAAGGCACCAACATGATAATCTAAAAATCATAGAACATTAATGTTGTTGAAAGACATACATAGTTTTGTAGGCTAGTCTCCAGGTTAACTAGTGGAATATCAAATGAACCAAAGAGAAATTCATTCACATCCTTCTCAGTTTCACCAACTGTAGCTTCCCCGCCAAGCAATTTGAGATAAAGCGTGGCCCTGTCACGCACCTGAGGTGAAAAGCATAGCAAATGTAAGAAAGGCTTCTTGCCAGGAAGGAGAGTTTGATGGGCCCTTTTAAGAACAGAACTGACAATGCTAAGCTGTTCATGAGGAAGAACAGAGCATAATTATCTTTTTGCTCACCTCATCATCACCATCAAACAGGCAGCGTCTCAGAAGGACAAAAATTCGAGGCTGCAACAAAAGAAGGCGGTAAGTGCAACCCAAGCCTCAAGAGAGTCAACAGAGGGGTTTACAGGTATAAATCTGCCAAATTACCTTGAGTGAGTCAACCAATGCACCGAACTTTGCCAAAGTACTTACAGCACTAGCTCGAACAGTAGCATTTTCAAGTATCACTCTGTTATATATATAACGTATGTATTTACTAGGATCTGATGTCTTTGGACCTTCATTTCCCAAAAAGTGAAGTATCTGTTGCAAGATTGGAACATAGTAAATTCATTAGAAATTCATAATTCATTGTGTAACTTTGGGGTATGCAAGGCAGGGAAACTGTTTCTACATCCCAAAACGATTGGAGGACTTTCCACAAGTACAAAACAACTAATATTTGCATAGGCTAATCCTAAGCACTTGCTAAATCAAAATATTTTGCTGGTGAATAATGATCACCACTTCGGTGTAATATAGGGGAGAAAAGATCCTCGGACAGTTATATATAACTTTCAACATAACAAGGCTATATAGAATATTTCTTGAATTTCTTCAGAAGCAAGCATGACATTGTCGCAATTAAGTTACAACCTCCTAAGTTCGGAAATAACTAGTGACTTGCAAAATACACATTTATAAAATGATAGATTGGCCATTACCTGAGTAGACATATAAGTGAACTCACAATCTTCAATGAATTCACACAAGTGAAATAAACCACTTTCTTTTGCATCAGGAATATCTCTAATGAGTATGATAATTGAATCAACAATAGCCTTCTTGTACTCAAAGCCACCCTCTTCCCGTAGGATATTACTCAAAAAGTTCATCCTGCAAACACAACAAAGTTCAATGTTCTGATGACAAGCTAGTTCTGGATCTTTAAAAATTTCTGTATAAGAATATACGCTATTCTACGTACAGTGACCGATATTTTAGGGGGAACTTCAAGCACAAGGATCTTATGGCCTCTACGACAACAATCTTGAATTCATCGGCAATGTCCGACATAAAATTGGTCATCTGCTTCATTAAGCGATCAACACTTGATTCATTGCCTGTCTTAAGTAGTGTTGTAATTGCAAGGGTAGCAATGCTCCTGTTCTGATCAGATATTAAACTCTCCATATCTATGTTACAATTGGTGACAGCCAAAGGATGAGTTGATGCAACCTGTACAATCAATATCAAATGAACACAAGTCAAGTGAAGGAACCAACAAGCCTATCAAACATAGTATAAGCATACAGTTTAATATAATCAAAAGAGGAACTCCATAAAAAAGAACATAAACAAAAGAATTAACATAGTAATGAATATAATTTTTCCTGATTAAATTTGCAAGAGGCAGAAGTTTCAACTTCCAACTAAACTATACTCGACAAATTCAAATTATATCCAAGCATAGTTATAAAATCGGACTACTGATAAAACCAGTGAACATTTTGAATCAGTGGTTTACCAGTTGGACCATCAGTTCACAACCCACCCACAAGCTCATCAAAATATATAAAATAAAATTCACAAGTTATATAGAGGATAACTAGGATTAAATCTAATTGTTTTTTTTTCCAGTTAGTTCCCTCTTGCTGTTGTCCCTATGTCTTGAGATCAATCCCCCACACCACTATAGATAGTTTTCGACTTTTCGTGTCTTCCAAGAGCAGTTGGCCCTATCGGTCCCAGATGATGGTTCAGTGTAAATTAACCAATTCATGTCGGTCTACATGCACACATTCTATGCATGTGACCAGACTGGACAAGGCACTAATACAGTTTATTTCTGGCCAACAGCCAGCAGAATCTGGTTCTCCAAACTAGGCAATCAAGGGCAATGTTGTGGTCAGAAACTAACCAGTGTTATTTCATTGTTCATAAAAAACAGTGACAGTTTTGGACTTTTAGCATTTATAATAGGGGAAAATATGCAGACTTAATGCCAATTCGAGATAAGTACCAATGTGTAAAAAATGGATATAATATTGCTTGCCAATCACTGGTGTGGTAGAAAGAAAACTATTTGTGGGAAGCCATCTACTTTGTATTTGTAAACTACAGTTGAATCAAAGCTCCACACACATGACAGAAGTACAATGACAAGAAAGTACAAAAAGTAGTCTTATGGATAAAACAAACCTTATTAAGTGTTCGAACAGCAGCAAATCTGAGAACAGGTTTCGATGAACTTAAGAACAATTGCAGCACGGTAATTGCAGGTGTAAGCTCCCGGCTGGTGACGCCATTTAATTCAGTTATCGCTCTTGCAGCCTCAAGTATGACCATTTCTGCTTTATTCCGGAGACATGACTCCAGGAAATCAAAGAAAGGGCGATCTCCACCTTGACTATTCATGCTTGACTCTCTAATCACCTATGGATGGCACTCATGTATCAGATATCTATCCAAATAAAGTTTTGCAGAATCAAAAAACATTACCTGGCTAGTGTACCGAATAAGTAGGCACTGTGCCAGAGGTGAGCGAACAGAACCCCTAGTTAGACTAGTGACAAGCTTGCTGACAGCCAACCGGTCATTTTGCCTAATCTGTAGAATTCAATAAATGGAAACGCTGTAAGTTCCCTGAGCTTGACAAGCTTGTTTTAACATAATATTATTTGCAATTGCCTAGCAGGTGGCAACAAAACAAAGAGCTGAGTATCATTTACATGGAGGATGACCAAATGACATTACTAGGAGAATGACCAGAAAAGTTTCTATAGAATATTATTAAAAATGTTAGGTATCTAAAAGTAGTTTGTTTAGGTCCAAGATATTTCAGATACTAATGTTCATTCTACTTACTACTCCCTCCATCCCAAAATATAAGGCACAACCACTTTTCTCTCATGTCTCATAATATAAGGCGTGCATGCATGCATACATTAACTAGCATCTTTTGGTCCTATAAAATTGATTTGTTTTAAATCTTACACTATCAAACCTCCCAATCACATTGCTTGCATGCATCAAGGTGATCCAACCAAGAAGGTGGTTAAATGTTTTCTTGGTCTTTGTGTTATGAGTGGTTATGCCTTATATTTTGGGATGGAGGGAGTAGTAAAAACCAAACATAAATCTCACCTGGTGAAGAAGAGCAAGGGCATGAAATTGAACAAGAGCAGCTCTCGACTGTACAGCCTCCTGAACTTCATTGCTCCACCTTTTCACAACTTCTGGACTTGTCTGCTCAGAATAAAACCATACAAACAAAACATTTGTAAGGATTTGGGTCTGGCTGTAATATGCAATTGCATAAAGGCAAAGACTAAACGTTTTGCACATACCTGAAGCAAGTAGATGCCACTAACAAGGGCCGCGCTTGCAACAACAGGGTTCTTGTCAACAATGGCTTGCTTCAAATATCTTTCAATTTGGGTTAGAAGTGTTGAGTCAATGATGCGGCAAAGAACTCTTATTGCATTAGCTCGATACATATCAGTCTTGCTATTCATGTCCTTCATCAACGAGCTGGTCACGATGATAACCTGCAACAAATGTAACACAGACACTTTCAAAGATCCATAGACTGCAGAGAACTGCAAAGTAACAATCAACATTCACCAACCTCATCTGCTGATGGGGAGAGTTCCTTGATCATGAGGTACACCATTCTCCTAAGGCCTGCATCCTTGGATTGAAACAACTTGGTCGTCGCAAAAAAGACCTCTGTGGCCTCCACCTACAAAATTGCTCACTCATTTACATGTGACGAGCATATTGCCTTGAACAACACATTCAAAACTTACTCACATCTATGAGAGAAAACAATAATATACCAACATGCACTTATGCACACCAGTCGATCCCCATTCTTCTTTTAAAACTAATGTTTGTAACCAGTTCATTAAGGCAAAAGTTGGGCCTTTAGTCTATGACTACTGACCACCACTCACTCACTTTCTCTCTCTTAAGTAGTAGCTCAACACTGTCTACATGTTAATAATACATGTGATTTTCAGACCCACCACCAACTCCCTAAAACTATGACGTGAGACCCACATGTCCCATCATTCTCAAAACCAAATACAATGGTAGAATTCATGGACCGTTGATGATGTAACTTTTTTAATGGAGGGAATTATGCAGTAATGATAAGTCAATTCGGTCCGTCTAAAATTTTTTGCGGCTAGATAAAGAAACATCTAATTTAATTCTAAAATTAAGCTCTAAACTGAAAATAGATTTATTTTTTCAATGTGCCAACATGATTTTCTAAATTCCATAACAACGTACGGTTATTTTGCTAGTCTTCATAAATGTGTATAACATGGAGACGCTATCAATTCAAATCCGCAAGCTAAGCCAAGATGTGACCAAAGCAAGATGAGGTATACAGCATTGTACCTTGGTGAAGGTGTCACCCTGGTTGAGCAGGTATAGGAGCTTGGTGATGACCTACAGACACACAGGTAAATCAAATCATCAGCAATCTTCCAATGATGCGAGATCCAGCGAAAGGGGAAAGAAAAAAACGGAACACGCGGTTCACCTGGCAGCAACGGCGCGCGTCGAGCTGCGGGTCGTGGAAGACGCGGGCCTCCTGCAGGACGGCGCCCTTCTCGATCCCGAGGAACGGCGAGTAGTACTCTGCAGCAGCAGCAGCAGCAGCAGCAAACGGGAGCGATCAATCAACGAACCGATCAAACGCGCCAACGCATTGCGCCGTGATCTGGATCGCGCCCAGATCTAGCCCGCCGCGGCCGCAGATCTGGGTGCGGCGGGGGCGCACGCGCCCCAAACCCGAACCCCACGCGCGCGCGCGCGCACCAAACCCGAACCAAACACACACACACACACACATAGAGAGAGAGAGAGACGCACCTTCCTCGTCGAGATCGTCGTCCTTCTTCACGACGAGCGGCTGCGCCATGGCGGCCGCTGGTGGGGCGAACTACGGGACGCGCGCACGGCGGCGAGTGGGGGCACCGGCGGCGGCGGCGTGGGAGGAGGAGGAGGAGGAGGGCTTACGACAGTGGAGAAAAGGAGGCGAGCGGCATGGACGACGACGATGGGTGGATCTGAATCTGGAAGCGGACGAGGACGAGAGGGGAGAGAGAAGAAGGGGGTAGTAGGGTTGGGTGGCAAATGGGCAGTAGGCGACTAGGCGTGTGTTATCTGTTGGAAGCAATTCAAAGTATTATTTTATGAATTTTAAAATTAAAATGATTATTGTGAGTTCACCTAGTGTAACTCTGAATTAAATTTGAAAATATATCTTTTTTAATCATTTACGTTTATATACCTGGGAGGTAAAGTTTAGCAAAAATATACCTCCTCCATAGGGCGGCAGCGTGGGAACGTGGTACCCCTGGGAGTGCGGGACCAGCTCGGTCGCGCAGACCGGGGTTGCGGAACCGAACCTGTCCCACGGCACTGCTATGCAGGTTGGTGTTGCACGCGGGACTGACCGCTGGCCTGGCCGGTTACGCAGAACGGAGGCGCACTTCGGTCTCGCAGCCCAAAACGCGGCACCAAGCCGGTCCCGTGGAGCATCGGTGCCACATTCCTACCGCGTGGGATCGCACTACTACTCCGCACCTCCATTCCGCGAGACCACACCGAACGTTGTTTTGTCCACCAAAAGTTCTTTGTCCTCTCACTCCATGTGACATGCTCAGCTAGAAACAAAGGAGAGAGTGATTCCCTTCTCTAGTCCCAGCCTTTTTCATTTGTTGTTTGCCTGTCCGCCGAAAGTTTGTTGTCGTCTGGTTAGAGATCTACTCGTTGAATGCCTATAAAAGAAACGTTACGAAACGAAAGAAGTAGACTCAAGTATAGCATATAACTCATATTCGTGGAGTTTATCATTGGGGTAAGTTTCAATAGGTTAGTGTGCTTTGCGAATTCACAGGCCCTATCTTGTGGTATGAACTAAGTACGCGATGATTTCTGGTACGTATTGGGGGCTTACCATAAGATAATGCCGTGAATTCGTAAAGCGTTCAAACCCACCGAAGTGTTGTGTAAAGGTAAATATTTGTAAGTGTTTGTGCTTGCGCGCCAGTCCCATGCCTCCAATCTGAGCTTGCGCGTCACTCCCGCATCGCCGCGGCGCAGGTTAGGTATATTTTCGCAATTCCGTCGCATGATATATATATATATATATATATATATATATATATATATATATATATATATATATATATATATATATATATATATGGCAGCGCTAAACCGCACCCAGGGTGCGTAATAGCTAAAATGCTCCCCTCACAACCCACCCCCCACCCCCACCCACCCCCCCCACCCTCACTCCCACCCCAGGAAACTATCTTTCTCTCTCCTCCCCCACCCCTAACCGCCCCCCACCCACACCCTGGTTCGTACCTTTTCTCTGTCCTGATTTTTCTTCTCACGTCCTTTTCTTAGTAAATGATTTACTTTCAGTTGATTTCTCCTTTCGGTAAATGTATTACTCTACTGATTTACTCTCAGTTGATTTCTTCTTTCAATAGATGTATTACTCTCTGTTGATTTCTTCTTTTAGTAAATGTATTACTCTTAGGTAGTTCTCCACCCTTATCTCATTCCTGATTTTTATACCAACGTCCTTCTCTCGATAAATCATTTACTCTCAGTTGATTCATTTTATTAGTAATTTAATTTACTAACGCAGTAGGCATATCATAATGTTATTTCTTCGATTAGAGGTAAAATCCCAATCCTTTCAGTTCTTCCAAACATTGGTCGAATTCTTAATGCAAACAAGCTCATAATTGCATAGAGGACACAGATATATACATAACATGCATCAAGAACGTGAGATTCAGTGTTAACCGGTAAAGCAAATAATCTATCACTACCTCCTATACAAGTCACTGGAATATTCAGTTATACAAATGAATCAGCTAGTTCAAAAAAAAAAAAGAACAGAGGAATCAACTGAGAATCAAATTAAACAAATGAATCAAATGAATCGCAGGCTCGATCATTTGCAGCAATGGCGGATTTGGACTTGTTGGATCAATCGATCTCAAGGCATCCACGCACTCGTCCACACGACAGGCTGCTCCTTCCACGCAAGGAATGCTCCGGCAGCGGCGGCGTTGTCCATGTCACTGCCGTAGTCCCGCATCAACCAGCCACCTTGTACCGCCGGAGAAGCGACCGCACGTCGTCGGCGACGTCATCACTGAATGCCGCCAGCGATAACTCCGCCGACCGCGTGCACCGCGCCCAGGACACGCCGGTCTCCCACCGCTCGGCAGGAACTCACGCCGTCGGCGAGTTATCCTCTTCCAACTCCTCCTCTATGTGGTCTCCGCTTCATCAGCTACTCGGCTTTTCTCCGCCACCACCACACGATCTCAGCCGTCACGGAGGAAGGCCAGAGCAGTGAGGCTACCGGCCTCCTGGAACGGTTCCTTCATGGTCGAGGGCTTGGATTTGGCGGTAGGTCGTCGGGGCAGATCCCAGGAGGCGGCACCAACTCACGGACGGACGATGCGCCACCACGCCTCCATCGCCGGCGACCAGTCCGGACGACCCACCGCCATCGAAGTCAGCTCCGTCTCAAACTCCCACCGCCGATGTCGGATCAAGGCGGGGGACGGCCACCGCTGCTGGACCCGGGCGGAGGTCACCCCGGCGAGCCCGTCGCCCGCCGCTAACGTAGGCCATCCCCGTCGCTCGCTGCTGGCGCAGGCCGTCGCCGTCGCCCGCCGCCAGAGGAAGCCGAGGAAGCCCATGCCATCGCCCGCCCGCCGTCGTCCTGCAATCGTCGGTCAACCGCCTGCCGCACACGCAAGCCATCATCGTCGCCGCCTAATCCGTAAAAAGTGGAGAGAGAGGGGAAAGTGGGGGGAACGGTTTCTACGAAGGAAGAGGGAGAGAGTTATATATATAGCATGTAGATTTGATTGTAAATAATTTACTCTGTAAATGTAAATGTGGGAGGGGAGGGGGCAGGGGTGCTGGGGTGCACGTGGGGTGGGGTGGGGTGGGGGTTGGGGGGTAGGATGTGAGGGGGAGCATTTTAGTTACTACGCACCCTGGGTCTTTTGTGTGTGTGGGTGTATATATATATATATATATATATATACACGCAAATTATTAAAAAGAAGTTATATTTCCAAAAAAATTTCGTGTAACTCTCTCCAATTCTTTTTCAGCGATTTTTTGGATATTTTTTTACTATTCGTACGGTTGAGCTTTTTATCCAAATTCTAAAATAGTTTTATTATCCGAGCTTGAGAACATCATCATTTTGTCGCAGAGGCGGCGATGGGAGGGCGGCCACTAGCAATAGCCGATAGAGGATGAAGTGCGTAGAGCAGGGGACTCTCCGGTGATAGATGACCCATACTCAGATTATGAATCACCTATTGAGGAGCAAAGGGATTACGAGCGGATGGCCTGGACCAAGCTTTGACTAGAGATGGAAGAACAAGAGAGGGAGCACAAGAAGAGGTAGGAGAAGGGGGAGAAGAGGAGCGGCAACACGTACAAGGGTGGGGACAACGCATGAGCATGTAGTGTTAGTCTAAACTCGTGCGTTGATCGTCTCCACTCATGCAGAATTAACTCCTGTCTTCAAATTCTCTAAATGCTTTAAGCACAATTGTGTATACACGTGATGTGTTGTGTCTCTAAATTTCCTAAGTGCTTCGTGCACAAATTGTATGTACTCGTGATGGTCTTTTACCTCTAAATTCACTACGTGACTTGTGTACATTTATGGTTTGTTTGTATCAGTGATTGGAAATAAACTTTACTTTGCAGAACTTTTATAATAATATAGTTGAATGCCCATGCACTGTAATGGAAAATACTAATAAAATTGACCGCCATAACAATCCAAACAATACTTTCACTAAGAATAATCACCTAATTCCAATCCTGAATTTGCGCAAATAAGATCATATTTAAATATATAGATATGACGAGGCGTTGATGGTTCAAATGACCATATTTTATCATCATCAGTCTTGAGAACATCATCATTTTATTACGGAGGAAATGGTAGGAAGGTGGCCACTATTAGTGGCCTTATGGGGGTGAGTAGGTGAAGGGAGATGGGGGAGGAGGTGGGCTTCAAGGGGTGGAGAGAAGGAGGGGAGCAGCATGGACGATGATGGATGGATCTGAATCTAGAAGTGAACGAGGACACGAGGGGAAAGAGAAGGAGGTCGTAGGGTAGGTGAAAATGGGCATTAGATGTGTGTTCCTTTGGATGCAATTCAAAGTTTTCTTTATAAATTTTCAAATGATTATTTGCGAGTTCATGCAGTGTACCTCTCTACAAGTTTTATGAATTATTTGAACATTTTGCTCTCTAAAACAGTCAGACTTTTTATCGATATTCTAAATAGTTTTAGTTTTAGGAAAAACTAATCCACACTAGCAGCATCATCGAATACTTGTTTGGGTTGTGGCTTTTCAGCCTAAGCCTATTGGTTAGCTTATTGGATTAGGATCATTCAATCAAATAAAGTGGGTCCACAAGACAAAGATCGAGAGATTAGGGAGGTCTAAACTGAAACAAAGGCTACGTTTCATAGTCAAGAGTGAAAATATTATTTATACCCTAGTCGAAAATGAAACTTTGGTGCTAATACCTACCTTAGGTTGCAATTCACTCTTTTTTAATGTGGTATCATGTTATAGTCCTATAATTATATGATATTATTATATACGTAATTATTTATATATATTCTAATCGACATGTTTCAAATACAAAACCCTCATATAATTATATGATATTATTATATATGATAATTATTTATATATATTCTCATCGACAGGTTCCCAATACACATCCCTCGTATGTATTTTACATTCTTTCTACTCTCACACTATACGATTGAAAAAACCTAATATAATCCTACCTAATAATAGCACATTAACAAGTTACATATATATGTACAATCTATCATACTGCATATAACTGATTCAAATTAAAATACCGCTAATATGTATATATATATATATATAATTCATAATATTTTATATTTACTATGTATACTTGAATATAAGGTTTGACGAAATATGTCGCCTATAACCAGCGGTTCATGGAAACATACATTGTTTTGCATTACCCATGCTCCAAAATAACTTTGGTTTTACACTTATAATAACCTAAACGATTAGGTGAAATTTAATTTAAATTCTTCATGCTAAAGCACGACAAAATGGTGTGAATTAGTAATAAAAGACCAACTGGGTTGGTCTTTTGCTGTTTGGAGACTACTTGGAGACTTGCCGTTCAACTCCCTTCCCTTTTGGGCACCCCCAACAACTATCTATTCTGGTGTAAAAAAAAAAACAACTATCTATTCTTTCTTTCTCGTGTCCAAAAACCCCTCCTATATTTAGGGACCAACCAAAACAATAACGTACGGACACCAAATGCACACATGCGACATAGCAAAAATATATAAGAGAAAATTAAACCAGCTCCCCTCCTCCTCCATAGCTGCTAGCTTAGCTCCAAATTTGCACCAAATTCACGCAGAATTCACGTACATTTTGCCGAGTGATAATGGAAACCGGTCGTCGGTCGATATCGAAGATGCAGAGGTCGTCGGTGTCGTTCCGGCGGCAGGGCTCGTCGGGGCGCACCTTGGACGACCCGCTCAAGGCGCTCGACCTCAAGCAGGGCCCCTCGCCAACGGCGGCGTTCGCCGCCATCGTAGTCTCGCCGCTGGCGCCGTCGACGCCGCGAGGCGCCGCGTCGTCGTCGTTGCCATTGTCCTCACCACGCTCATTGTCCTCACCACGCTCATTCCGTCGCCACGACAACGGCAGCGGCGGCGGAGGAGGAGACGCCGCCGGAGGTATCCCAGAGAGCCCGGAATCGGAGGTGGAGCCCTCCCCGGCAATGGTGGCGGTGGAGCCACCAGCTGTCACGGCCGACGACGACGGTGGCAGTAGCGTCGGTGAGGAGAGAAGCACACCGCGGCGGAGGAGGATCTCGTCGGCGTTTTGCGCGTGCGTGAGGCACCCGCCAGAGTCCCATACGCAGCAGTAGCGGATAGAGAGAGCAATCCAGATTGTCTGTCTGCAGTACTGCTCACTGACATGTGGGCTCCACAGACCCTCAGACCCACATGTCAGTGAGCAGTACTGCAGATGCTGTACTGCAGAGGACCCTTACTCTAGAGAGAGGGTTGCACATGAAAATCAAGAGAGGTTTGTACACGAGCCATACGATTCGTGCGTGTGTGTATTGTGTTTATGAGTTTGGACCTCTCTTCTCTTACTGTCGCTGTACATATCTCTCGTAACTGGATATACTGTAAATGACGAGGGGGGCAGATCGGAGATCGGTGGATGATTGTATACAAAAAGGTAACCTGTATTTACAATACAGATAGTAGGTTAGGAATCCAAACACATAGCACACACAGGCACACATCACAAATATGCAACAGTTTCAAACTATATATACACCACGCTCTGTGTATCTACTGCCTAATTCACACAACAGAACAGATATTGGGATGAATATAGTTATTAATTTACAGGAACGTAACCAGAGGTATAGTGAACTATCAGAGATATAGCTTGACGTGCTAAATTGACCATTAGCAACCAGCACAACATCTAACGTTAGTCTTCCACTTATACAACAGTACTGATACAAAAATATGTTTATGGTGGTCTCATGGGCTGAAACAATATAGGTTATAAGATTGTTGAATAGAAAGGTACGTAGGTGGTCATTACAGAGGATCGATCACCTCCTATACAGAGCTCCCAAGAAAATAGCTACCAAGAGCAGCAGTAGCATCATGATCTGCGAAAGTCAAACAGGAAAATTATAAATGGTAGTAGACCATAACTAGAATTATCAGATTTTTTTTTAAGTTGATGCATTATTTACCATAGCAGGGTTCCTTTTTGGCCTATCCAAGTCATATCCCCTGTAGAATCAACAATGTGAATGATAAGTCGAGTTGAGATCAGCTGCAGAAATGGTTTTAGATCACTGGACAAACCTTATCTTCAGCAAACCGGATGATTTGCAGGTCTCCTTTATTGCATTCACACGTTTCCGTGTAAGCGACGCATTTGGATCATTATCATCAATCTGAAACAGTGGTTATGATGGTGGTGTCTAAGAAAACACAATCTTTTTAAGTATTGAAGGTACAAAATAAACAGAAAGATTATTGAAACCATAATCTGATGTCACATATAAAATGGCAAAACACAATTAAATTTGAGGAAATTGACTTATGTCACATATAAAAAAAAATGACAAAACACAATTAAATGACAAGCATACCAATTCATGTTAGTTTCTCAAACGCAACAAAGCAATATTACCGATTTATATGCTATGTTAAAACAGCTAGGACATAATTGAATATTTTAGATAGTCTTAGAAAAACTACATACTAGTGTAGAGATGAGCTGTTAAAAATTAACATATTTTATCTTATTTTACCCAACATAGTGAATGCTAAAGAAGATAATACTCCAGATCTACCTTTTCTGCAAGCAGTGAAGAGAATTCATAGAAAGCAGTGTACACATCAGCCATAGAATTTGTTTCATTGATTATTCGTGCAGTCAGCCCTATGAGAGTGCAAGAATGCTGTTAGAACAAAAACCAACGCAGACAAAATAACAGACAAGAGCAAATAGAGAGTGGAGATACAAGAATAACTCATACATTAATCACAAAATATGAATTTTTTAAAACATGCATGCCCTTTATATATGAAGCTATTGTTTGAACCAATAACCAATTCGATAATAGCACAAAGGTGTTTATGAACAAGAAATATGCAAAAAAAAAAAACTGTGCGGGTTATATAAAGCTATTACTAATTTGTGTCTTCTAAATATGCCAATCACAAAATACTCACCACGCCTCAACTTCACAACTCCTCGAAATACATTCACATTGTTATAGCACAGAGCATAGGTTGCAAGTGCCATTACCTGAAAAATAAACTCTCTTTGCTTACATATAAAATAAGTTGCCGTTTCAGTAGAAGAAAGCAGACTAGACTAGCAAAAGAACAGAGACAAGAACACAGAGCAAAGAGAAAATATAGGCTTGCCAAACATTTCAGAACCAAGGAAGCTGACCAGCAGCCTCCATGTGTGTGAAATTAAGATGGTAATCCAACTTCAACCAAATGAGCAACAAGGTCATAAACGGGGTACAGAGGTCTTGAAGATGATTTTCTATAGAAAAAAATACAGACAATCTGATTGGTCAGTGGTAATCATTGTCCCATCACCTATCAAGTGGTGATGATATTCATGTTATTTCTCAAATAACTCCAAAAGTGATAAAACAATTGTCACTAGTTAAACCTTATACAGCATCAAATGGTATTGAATATGACCAACCACAGACCATAAACCCTAGTTTGGCGAGCGTATGAAATTTTAGAAGGCCATCCCAAATTTGTAATGGATTGAGGTGTGAATACATAATATACCTGGGGTATTGCACAAAAACGGAGAATAGTAATATCCTTTAGAGCAGACATATACCGAAGGCAATCTTCAGTATGTATTAAACCATTAGTCACCATCTCATTCAAGCATTTTACTGCCTTCACTGAATTATTTTCGTATTTGAGATCCTGCATTGATACAAAAGGAAAAGTTCTTCAGAATAAACAGAGAAGATAATTCTACATTCCGCATAACTACTCTATCTAAAATTCAGCATACTACAAAAGTACAAGTTGGGTGACCCATATTTAATAAAAATCAGTGTCAAAAAAGTAATCAAAACAATATATATCAGGTCTGAAAACAGACGAAGGTATGACAACCCTTACACAAAATAGATGCACCCGTATACCTCAAGTTTGTCAACATATTTACTCCATATTTCTCGTGGCCAGAACATGCGTGATTTTGGTATCTCATTTATGTCCTCCAGGTAATCCCGAGTAATATTGACTTTCTGCAATAGATTTAAACTGTAAAAAATGTTTCCAGACAAGGTGAGTTGCCAACAAGGTGAGTTTCCAGACAAGGTGAGGATGCTCTGATTGTATTCAGCAAGTCAAAAGCCAAACACCAGACTAGAATAATTATCAATATACCTGCAAAAATAAACCCATTGAATTAGAAAGCGATTCGGGAGCAAGATCTTCTAACCCAGCAGCATGAAAGAGCCTTGAAAGTCCAATGCCGACTAGCCCTGCCACATAGTGACAGTACTCATCATAATCATCAACAGTTTCAACCTAAAAAGGTCTCTTCATATTAGTCCACGGCAAGATATGATCATCATCTACATTCAAATGACTTTATGTAAATGATGCAGATAAAAAATCGTCATAGGATTGTGGAAATAACTGATGGTATATTACAGGATTCAGGTGAAACATACATAGACTACTTTTGAGTGCAGTGAGACAGTTAGCTTTACCACACAGAGGCCGACGTAAATACAATAAGACACAAATGCTATTTGCATGGCTGTAGGCTTAGGAATACTGCATACTAGGTGATTAGGCTGAAGCCATGCTTTTGCCAGCAAACTGGTATTCATATGTAAATGGCCAGGAGCACAAGCCAAAATAACAGATAACAACTGGAACGGCAGCAAGAATGCTATGACCACATCTTTGCATTAGCTTATGGTTATCATTCATCAAATGGACCCTGATTACATGATAAGCATATCTGCACAGTTTTTCAACACATGAAAAACCTTCTATAGGGAGCATCCCATAGCTATTAATGTTGAGATCTATAATGGCATACTGAGCAGCTTAACGACAAATGATATCATCCTCTATGTATGCTGTACAACAAGATCAACTGTTGTGTCATCAATTCTAATAGATCTAGAATACAAAAGCTATATTCTGCTATTCTACAGTCAGACAGAAGGGCTTCTATACAGATAACATTTACAAGCAGAGCAAACTTTTCTTCATTATGATATTATTGCTTCTGACAATATGGAACATATTATTCTGTAAGGAACAATATACCTCCTTGCATATAAACTTTGCCATTCCTGCACCCATTCTCCTGGTAATTTCTTCAATTGCCTCTTGGTATCTGGATAACAGAGTAAACATGTATTGCTTCTTCTACTTGAATGGGACCACTTACATAGACTAGATAATTCTGAATTAAAATACTAATCAATGTCATAGGGTTGATACTTGATAACTCCATTTTTTTGGTTTGACCCATTTGATTGTCCTTCATTTACTAATTTGGAAGCATTGTGGAACAAGCCAAAACAAACAATGATCTAAGCATATAACATAATTAACATGTGACCTTATAGTTTGAGAGTAAGAAATTAATTACCATTCCTTCCTGATGTGTAAATGATTATACATATCTAACATCATCTAGATATAGCTTAATTGGAAATAAGTGTTTGATTTCATATGAGGACATCTAACTGACTGGATATGTAATATCAATGATGTCAAGTGACTGTCATCAGGCCAAACTGCCAAAGTAACTAAAATTTTACAATGTCCAAAGAAGTTAACAAGAAAATATTGATCATACAAAGAGATTAAAACTACTTGGAATTTACCCTGAACCAAGCTCCAAGAAAGCTGTCAAAACATAGTGGAATTTATCCATCAGAATCTTGCAGTCCTTTGTTCCACCTGGAACCAACGTGATGCCAACAAGCGAAGGACTAAGATAGTTACAACTTATGAAACACATGTATAGTAAATTCACATGGACACGAAATTTTTTGCCTTACATGAGAAATGCCAATCCCGGTTATAGATATGACGGTGGAATTCCTGAAGAATGGGCACCTTAATCTCAGTAGGGATGCTAGTATCATCTTCTGCACTCCAATCAGAACAGAACTATAAATTTAAGAAGAAAATTCTTTCAAGAGAAGGATTAAACCAAAAAAAGAAATGCATTGTACCCCCATGCCCTATCACCTCTTGTTTGAAAGTCTATCAATTCTCTCTTGCACTGCTAATTGGTCAGTGCAGTTTACTACTGACAATTCCCAACAAATTTGTGACAAAAAATGTAAACATTGGTGAGTGGCATTTCCATTCTTTTTTCCCCTCAAATTTGTAAATTTAAAAAGGTAGAGAGGACAAAAATGGAAAAAAAAGTACTAAGCATTATGCACCACTGCTTTTCTTTGGAAAAGTAACCATAAAAGCATCTCAACGTCAGTACCCATATGAAAACGAGGTGGTTTGTGCACAGACTTTGCAGTTGTCCTCAAACCATAAAAGAAAAAACAGCTACAATACGAAAACGAGTTACATAAAGGAAAAGTCTATACGTATTTTTTTTTAATAAATGCTTACCAAGTATAGCCAATTATAGATGTTGAGCTTGTACATACTCACTTCGCTCGCTCAAATCAGTATAAGAAAAAAAAAGGGAAAATGTATTTATTTGTTTGCAGTTCATAAACTGTTCATGTTGCTTGCAATACCGTACATATGCTACGACCGCAAAGTGCAGAAATCTCGGGAAAAAAAACACAACGTGGGAGTTACTCACCGACGGTGTCGAGCGCCCGAAGCACGAGGTAGAAGACGCACACCTGCACGCACGCCACGCGAAAAACGAAGAAATCCCCCCAAATTGAAGGGGATGGTGGTGAGAAATCAGGTACTGGATCAATCGAGAGGGTCGCGGACGAGGAGAGGGAGAGGGAGGGGACGCACGGCATTGCGGAGGTCGGGGCCGAGCTGCTGGATGACGATGGCGAAGCTGCGGGAGACGCGGTGCAGCATGGAGTAGGCGAAGGCCCAGTGCTCGTCGTCGTCGGTGGCGGCGGCGACCTCCCTCCGCAGCCGCCACGCCGCCGCCCGCAGCCTCACCAGCGCCTCCGCCTCCGGTCCCAGCAACGCCCCCACCACCCCCATCGCCTCGCCGCCGCCGCCGCCGCCGCCGATGACGACTCGGATGGCTGCTTCTTCTTCTAGCGGCTTCGAGCGCGTCGGCTTTGATTTGGGTTGGTCACTGGGTCGCGTCGACTCGACACGACACACCGAGGGTTTTTTTTTTAATGCCATTCGGCTATTCTTTATTAATACGGAACAGGGGTTTTAAATTTCGAAATCAGCAGTTATGCCTCAGAGCGATAAAACCGAAATTTCCGAAATTGCCAAAATTTCGGAAAAATTTCGTATGAAATTTTATGATTTTTTGACAGATTTTAAATAAAAATTGATCAAATTCATAAAAAATTGCATAAAACCGAAATTTTCGAGCAAGATGTTAGCATTTCGGTGGGGGGATGAGGGGGGGGGGGGCGAAATTTCTGAAATTTCGAACCGAAATTTCAGACACCGATACGGAATACGTAAATATACAGTTATATCGTTCACTAGTATGCTCATAATAAAATGCCTCCACAGTAGTGGGGCGCTGATACGTGTGGCTACGCGCACACGATTGCTCTGAGAGCTAGTTTGTTCATCGTAAGTTTTGACACTATCAAATTTTAATGGAGGAGAGTTGATTAGAAACAATTTGGAAATTGGAATGGGGGTTGACAAAAGATTTATTTACTAAAGAAATTTCCCTATGGATTAATTTGGTCTTAGAAAATGTAGGAAGGAAGAACAATATACCACTTCAATTCATATGTTGTTTCATGTTCTACGATTTTCCTATCATATGCTTCAAAGGGGTCTAAGAGTTGAACAATTAGACAATAGCAAGATATAGATAATATCAAAATTTTCAAAGTGTTTGGGTTTTGATAGGATAGCATATCAGTTTTCCCGTCAACCTATCAGAGCTATTTCAAATAAATCTTGGTTTTTAGTTTTAAGCAGTATAAAATGAATACGTGGATATGTTTAATTTCAACTAAATATGATTAAGAGTTAATTGCACATTGTCTTTAATGGCCATTATGCATTTCACTCTGTAATCGATTACAATCTGTGAATTTTGTTGGCGTGGTGATCAAGGAGTACAGTGAGAGACGGAGACAGCTAAAATACGAACATTGAAGAAATATGAATTTGAGTATACTCCCTAAGATGAAGCTTAGCAATAACCGTAACACAAAGGATCCAATCTCTAAGACTCATTCGTGTTTCATTCATTGTAATTTGCAATCATCAAGGTTAGTTTGGCACTGACCGTTGGCTCTGTATTTATCTGCAAATATATAAACATGAAAACTATAGGGGGTTTTCTACAAAACATTTTCTCCTGGTTTCCCTCGCGACCTCACCTCAGCGCATCCGCCACACTCGCCCCGCGCCAGCGTCGGCACGAGACTGCCGCCGCCGCCGCCAGGAGGCCGCCGTCCTGGCGTGTGCGCGGCGCGTGTCGGAGCCGATGCCGACGCCATCACTGGCGCTCCCTCCCCTCTCCCCCGGCCCCCGCCGGCGGAGCCGGCCGTGAGCACCGTGTGCACTGGCGCCGGCGTTCTCTCCCCCCTTTATTCTCTCCCCACCCCATCCGCTGGCAACAGGGCTTGCGGCGGCGGCGGATCCGTCCGCACACGGGCGCAACGCCACCGCCACCCGTCAGAGCAAGAGGGGAGAGGCTAGCCGCGTGAAGGAAGGAAGGATGGGGAGGGGCAGTGGTGGTGATGCCGCCGCCGCCACCCCGGCCACGGCCTTCCCATCGACTCCGTCCATCCTCCCCCCTCTGCGGCTGTGTGCCATCCCCCCCCCACCCACCGCCGTGCACCATCCCCCCGCCGTTGTTGCCTCCCCCTATCGTCACAACGCTGGGTGCCGCCCTCCTCGCTGGCAGATCCGTCCTCCGTTGGCGGTGGCGTGCGTCGGCCGTTGTCCACCGTGCAAATGGCGCTGCGGGAGGATGGGCCATCCGTGGCCATCGTGGGCGCGACGAGCGCCATCGGATAGGACTCCCTTCGCGTGCCATCCACCCTCCCCAGCCGCTGTCATCGTCGTCCACCCTCCATCCGCTGCCGCCTACCTCGTCCGCCGTCCCCCCGCTCTTCACTACGGCGAGGCGTCCTCTTTGCTCGACGCATGGTGCCCCCTCCGCACAGCCGACTGGCGCAGCCGCCATCACCGCCCACCGCGCCGCCACCTTTCATCTTTTTGTATATCATAAACTAGCTCCGGGGGGACGGTGACCACTTCTTCCTCCTCTGTCACAAGATCTGGTTCCACCATGCATACGCTCTCCATACTCAGCGCCGGCCACCGAACCGGGTCCTGGACCAACTATTGTGACCTCTTTGTCGACCTCACAATCGGATCAGGTTCCTCTACCTTCAAAGGCACGTGCCTTTATCACTGACATGTGGGCCCAATGGACCCTGGGCCCATATGTCAGTAACAAAGGTACGGTGCCTTTGAAGAGAGGATCTCAATCCCTCACCATCAACTATTTTCTCCAAGCATTTTAAGTTCCCCCTCGTTGCCACTTACCCAAGGAGAACGTTGTCCATGCCATGGGCCAGGCTATCGATAGCAGCGCATCTTCTGGTTGCCCATCGTTCGATGTCTAGGTACATCATAGGGTTTTGTTAGGACACTAGCGTTAGGGTCTAATTCAGGGTACGTGTGCTTCAGGGACTGCACAGCCATCGCGCTGGGTGGTTGAGGAGTGCTGCGAGTATGCCGCACTGTTTGAATCAATATGCAATGTATGATTTTTGTTATGCACGATACTTAGCCTGCTAACCTTAATACATAATAGTTGCCTTTGCTAAACTATTTTGATAAGTAAATCTGATGTTAGAGTTTGTGTCGAATATGTGTACGTAGTCGGAGTTTAGGACTTGGAGTTGTACTAGGTGTAAGACTAAAGTAAGAGTCGAAATCTATATTAGGCTCTCTCATAAATAGAGGGACGTAACGTGCCTGTTGTAACCGCATGACGACTTAGCATAGCAAGAGGGAGTGGCTGCCGGCAGCGATCGGCCGTGAGTCGTTGTAACTCTGATACGCTGTAATATGCTGGATCGGGGAAGAGCGCCCATAATCAGTGCCCCGGAGATGTAGGCCTCGGCTGAACTCCGTTGTCAAATATCGTGCCTCGGTGTCGTCATCGTGTTTGGAGCTCCTATGGTGTTTCTTCCGCGTTTGGTTTCCGATGGTGATTTCGGGCCGGTTTTATAACATCTAAAGCCACTAAACTAAATTAATAATTTTGCTTTGGTGAGTTCATTTATAAGGTAGGGAGCTTGTCCTACATCACATTCCTGACTCCAGCTTTCTATATACTACAATAGTTGTCTTCTTCTAAGATTTTCAGAATCGTGCCTGAATTTCACTAGATCGCGTCTTTTTGAAATGATATCTTAGGTTGTTTGCATGACATGGGTACTACTAGATTGCTACCAGGTTAACTGGTTAAGTCTATTACTGATATGAAGGATTATTTTCAGTCGGACTTACAAACTGAAAGATTTCCAAACTTGTCAGTGACTTACAAATATGTGCAAATGTATCTGTTGTCTTCCATTAATCCAAGTGCATTTCTCCCTGGGGCACTGTTGATATTTTACGCAAGCTTGCAAGTATCAACTGGACATGACAGGCCATCCCTCCTAAATAAAGTTACCTCATTTGTTTCTCATCAATGGGATATGCTCATATGCATCAAGTGTCTAAAGATGGCATTGTCTTGGAGAAGAATTCTGATGGGGGTAAACCAATTGCATTTCCCCCTCCAGTTTTGAAATTATAGTTTTGGTATGGAAAAAGTACGAATTACCTCCAAACTATCGCGGTCGACCGAATTACCCCCCTAAACCATAAAACTGGATATTCTTCACCTCCAACTATACAAACCAGACGAATTACCTCCGTCGACCCAATCCGCGGTTGTTTTGGTCTACGTGGCATACACGTGGCAGTCCAGTCAGCACTCTATATATTAAAAAGAATATGGGACCCACCTGTTATACTCAGTACTATCCAGGGTTTACAGAACCGTACAGTTACCACGCGCGGTATCCTTTTCAGTTTTTGAAACCATGGTATGTATCGCGGTTACCGTGGTAACCGCCTTACCGCGGGGGTGCGATAACCGTGCCAAAAACAGTAAGGGGAACCTGGTACTATCACTTTTCAATGAACAAGAAAGGTTGAAATATGAACCCTGACTTCCTGGATGAAATTTATTTGAAGAGAAACCTGCAGGCCGGATCGAGTTGCACCACGCATGCGTCCAAAGTTCCAAATAACATAAACGAACTCTCATCCATGCATAAAACTAATGACGATATATATTTTTTTTGATAGGGAACTAATGACAATATAGGTATGCCACATATAAGTCTTACACGAGTTAAGCAAACATACTGCACGTGCGCTCATCTTAGAGTGGTTTACTCTGACCAAGTCTACTTAATAGTAGAATAGTTCTTAGCTAGAGAAACAGCTAGAGTTGCTGGGTAACATAATTATTTTTAGGATATATGAAAGCTTCAGCTAGGTAGTAGTAGCAGCAAATTAAAACCACCTAATGTTCCAACAGAATCAGCAGTACTTCATCGACTGTCTAGCTACTTTTCGCACAGGAAGCACCCAGCACAGCCCCAATGCTGCAGCTCATCCGAATTCACATGGAGAGTTCCACTAAGCGAGCTTTACCCTCAGCTTCAGCAACACCAATCAATGACTGCACTCCAACAAGTATTCCACACCTCAATTAGTCACATAATACAGGATAAAAAATAGCCCATGTTAATTCTCTCCTGTACACTCCTCACGTTTTGTAAAATGCATATTAATTTAGCCAACAGAAATCATGTTCTTTAAACTCCATTTGATAATTGAAACTAGTCGACAGAGTAGGTTGTGCTACTCTACAACATAATAACAGATCAAGAACACCAGTATGATGGTCAGCAAAATAAATGGTGATAATGTAACTTAATTACTCTGGTATTCATGGCATAAGAACAGTCCTGTCACAAATCAAGGACACCGGTATGACCGCATGCCATAGCATAGTCCAAAGTGACCATTTCTAACATGCATTAATACAAAATTATTATATTGAAATTGATACAATTTCAAGTAC